ATCTCAATTCTCATAATCTATATGAACAATTCCAATCTGGTTTCAGACCACAACACAGCACGGAGACAGCACTAGCAAAAATCACAAATGATCTACTAATGGCAGCAGACTCAGGCCATCTCTCCATTCTGGTTTTACTAGATCTAAGTGCTGCATTTGACACCATTTCTCACAGCATACTTCTCAAAAGATCAGCATCTATCGGCATTAGTCACACATCCCTAGCCTGGTTCACCTCATACATATCGGATCGTACTCAGTTCACTCAACTTCGGTCTCACTCTTCTAGTTCTTCCCCGGTTACTGCAGGAGTTCCCCAAGGCTCAGTTCTAGGCCCTCTTTTATTTATCATCTATTTGCTCCCCTTGGTCACATTTTCCACAAATACAACGTTGATTTTCACTGTTATGCTGATGACACCCAACTGTACATTTCCTGCAATCAAAATGCATCCCTTCCACCAATCTCCCTCTCTAACTGTCTATCTGAAATTAGATCTTGGCTCTCTCAGAACCTACTTAAACTAAACAGCAATAAAACGGAACTCCTACTCATTGGCACCGCTTCTGTTTTAAAAAATTCTCCCAACTTCTCTATCAATATTGACAACTCAACACTTCACCCATCCTTACAGGTAAAAAGTTTTGGTGTCATACTAGATGGTACACTTTCATTCCAATCTCACATTAACCATGTTACTCAAGTTGCATATTACCATCTTCGCAATATCATCGGACTCCGTCCTTTTCTCACGCCTCATGCTGCTGCAATCCTCGTTCATAGTCTCATCGCCTCTCACGTCGACTACTGTAATTCCCTTCTATTTGGTCTCCCAACTAAATCCCTTCATAAACTCCAACTTCTCCAGAACTCTGCAGCACGCATCATTACTGGGACCCCCTCAAGAAATCACATCACTCCTGTTCTTAAAAACCTACACTGGTTGCCAATAGAAACCAGGATCATATACAAGATCCTACTACTTACATTTAAATCTATACATAGCATGGCTCAACTTTATCTATGTAATTTACTAACTATTGCAACCACTTCCCAATCTCTTAGATCCTCTTCTGCACTTCATCTGGTTCAACCTCGAGCTCGCCTTACCACCATGGGAAGCAGAGCTTTCAGTTGCTCTGCTCCACGGCTCTGGAACTCACTTCCCTCTGCCATTAGAAATACGGACTCTTTTCCATTATTCAAGGCACACCTCAAAACCCACTTATTCAAACAAGTTTATTCCCTTTAGACCTAGACTTTAGAATTGTTTCAAATTGTTATGTATTTTGTTTGATCTTATTGCCCTATCTAACCTCTGTTGTTTTTTGTTTTTATCTTTGTAAGGTGACCTTGGGTTTGAGAAAGGCACCCTCAAATAAAATGTATTATTATTATTATTATTATTACATTGTCAGAGGGGGAGACAGGCCCCACCCGTATCTCTTATCCAGACTACTCAGGTGCTAACATATATCAGTTCTCATGTGAGCTGTCTGGTACACCGCCTTACAGGCACAATCCCATTTCAAGCTCTGTGCTTTATCACCTTGATGACCTGTAATTTATCTCGCTTCAGTGCGAGCTGCTGTTGCACGAACAATCCCCCATTCAGAGTCCTTGTGTGGGTTTGAGCTCCTCAACAAACAACCAAGTACTGCTCGACAGATACAGCTGTTAGTGGTTGCGATTTTGTGTCAAAAAGATTAAGACCATCGATAAATGTTTCTTAGCGAGTCCCTTTTGGCTTTCTAATGGATCCACTGGGAATAACGTACATGCCATTAGGATGGGAGCTCAGACTCAAGGGATAAACAGCCTGTGGGGAAATACCCACTGAGACTTGGACAGAAACTGCCCTCCTCCAACATTGTATCACCAATATATCTAACATACACTCAGGACCTTGCTCTCTGCTGCAAATACCACTTGAGAGTCAAGAGCTGAATGAATGTAGCAGAAATCTGCCAATTCACAGGGAGTTACAAGAAGTAATGGACTGTTGCATATTTTGTTCACCAGGTGCACTCAAGGGCAAAGCTAATGAGACATGAACACAACCAAATCAAACAGCATTTATTTGTCATCAAGTGTTTTGGATTTTGAGTTGGTTTCCTAAACACGCTGGTACGCTGGTATTGTCTGAAAACAAATGAAATTTTTACTCCTATACTCTAAGTAGGACAAATAATAAAAAAGGAGTTTGGGGTATATACAATTGCCTTTAAAGCCCAGGCAAGCAGGCCTTATATCTCGTGCTCAAAGTTTTGATTCCACATTCCTTCAACAGATTTCCTTCATTAGCAGGGAGGCCCAGACTTCCTTCTCCCCAGCCACTTAGACCAGCTATTCCGGGCGAATTCCAAGGAGTTCCCTGGTCAGATGAGAAACAAAGTCTCTCCAGCATGTCCAGTGTCTTCCTTTAGGTCTCCCCCTGGTTGGACGTGCCCAGAAAACCTCACAGGAGACATCCTGACCAGATGCCCGAGCCACCTCAACTAGATCCTTTTGATGTGGAGGAGCAGCAGATCTACTTTCAGCCCCTCCCAGATGACTTCTCACCCTATCTCTAAGGGAGAGCCCAGCCACCCTGTGGAGAAAACTAATTTTGCCCATTTGGAGCCACTATCTCATACTTTCGGTCACTACCCAAAGCTTGTGTCCATAGATTTAGTTTGTGTTGACAATCCTGGATGAGATTATCTTAATATGTTACTGAAGACAACAGTCAATGAACCTCTTGGTTAACCTTCAATTAGATTGAAGAAGCAGAATTTGCAGGCTTGAGTCTTGTGTGTAATTAAATATATATATATATTTGTGAATTATTTTTATCAGCTGTCACCTTTCACCCAATACTTGAATATTATATTTCTAAATTAGGGTTTTGTCGCTTTGAATAAACATTCTGAAATTTGACTTTCTATAGATCTAAATCTGTTTAATCTGTTCTAACATAAAACTATTATAAGATAATGTCTCTTTAATCTCATCTGGATCAAAAATCTGCACTAAAACATTTTATTTCACATCAAAGTGTTTTTTTTTTCATTACTGTTTCTAATATTTTGTGAAAGCCTGACAGATACACAGTTATGTAAAGAATTTCCTCTGATCCAGTTTTGCACATCCAAACAGCTTCCTCCAATAGCATTGTACTTGTAATCTGCTCTTCATCTGACAAGATTTACTGTTATGAGTAAAATATTCTTATCTCATTTTCCACCCTTGAAATAAATTCCACAGATCCTCAGCTGGGATTGTAGCAAGTGTTTGAATTTTCCCGTGGGATTGTATGTTTTTGTTTCTAAAGAAATAAATCAGATGTTATTTTTAAAAGAGTTCCAGTAAAATGTGTGTTTGTTTGCAGCTTTTGATGTCACCACAACCATGTGCACTTTTTGTCAGACCTACATCAGACTCTTCCTACCCTGTGATGGGAAAATGACCCGTCAAAACATCTAATCCTCTGTTGATCCTTGATGCTTTCTTTCATCACTTCTTCCTCAAGCTCATCCATCTGTTGTTATTATTATTATTATTATTATTAGTAGTAGTAGTAGTAATATTATTATTAATAAGTAATTAACCTATACAAATAATTGGTTTCTGATTGAAATTAAGTCTTCTTTTGCTTTTTTTTTATTTAGGACAAAATTATCAAATTTCAGCCTTTTGAATTTAGACGTCTTTTTTTTGGTGGCATCTCCCTCACTGAAAAAAATCAGCTGTTTTTTTTCACGTCAGAATACTGAAAAAAATCTCTGCTTTTATGCTAATATATTCGGAGGGATTGTGGTGTTATGGGATTCTAAAAAACGTTGCTCCGCCTCTCTCTGCGCTCTCTGGTACTCATCTCATCCAAATATAGTTCTCCATCTGCAAAGGCAAACAAAACCAAGTAGGATATGCTCGTTTTCTTGCAGCCAAATTCATTTCCAATTTGGCTGGTTCTCACAGTTGGATTATGTCATGATTGCCCATAACAATCAACGCCTGCAGAATGAAGTGGTGCATCATCATAACCTTGAAAGACCTTCACTGGCAGCGTAAAAAGAGTCAAGGGGCCTCTGTGTCATAACTGTGCAGAGAGCAGCCCCTGTTGACCACATTGAGAGAAGGATTTTTATGTATGTGCACATGCTTTAAAGTAGTGGAAGATATTTTATTCCTGATGCATCTTCATTGATTTAATTTTGCACACAAATAAAGTAATTTGGGCTTCCCCAAAGATTCTAGAGATGGTAATTCCAACATCTACTATCTACATTATCTACAACATGAAGGGCTTAATGCTCTAAAATAAATAAATGGAGAAACCCCCAGTGAAAATAATATGTCCAAACAAAATCCCTGGATGTGTACAAGTGAAAAAAAAATATAGAATGAAAAAAAGATACACTCACTGGTTGACTTTATCGGTGGGCTATAATCAAACTGCAGATTACAGTCCTCATTTATATTTGAAATCCCAAAGTTAATGTTTTGTAAAGATAGAAACACAAGTACTGATCTTCAGAAGGAGTTTGTATTTTATTTTTCAGATTTACACAATTTTATTTTAGAAAAAAAGGCAAAAATATCATATTTTCTAAATCTGAAATATTACTTTGCTACAGCTAATTTCTGTCCACTAATATAATCAATTTATTTATAATATTAACTAAATATTATTTATGTAAAATGGAATGAAGTACAAAATCCCCATCATTTTATAATTTCAAACAACTGATCTAAATGCATATTCTCTCTATTACCAAAAGAAATAGTCAGAGAATTGGAAAAAAACAACGAATTATCTAAAATAAATTAATTTAATTTCATAGGGAGATTTCTTTGTATTTTTTTTTATTTATTTTTTTTGTATCTTTTTGATTATATACACGGTCTTTTTATTTTATTTGTTGTTGGGCGCTCTGTTTCAAATAGTTTGTTGTAAATCAATAAAGTTGGCAATGAACGGTTGAAATAATTTTATTTTGAAATCTGTCATTTTACACGCAACTTCCGTTTTCCTTCTGCGTGTTTCTCGCTTGTGCTCCAGGACTGTGTTGTTGCTGCTGTCCAACGTAAATAATCATGTCTATAGAAGTGGAATCTGCGGAGTAAGTACTTCTTTACGTTTCCTGTTAATCTTATTGGTTTTTTAAATAAAATTCTAGCTAATACCACCACACTAGATGACGGTATTTGCGTTAAGGCCTTTCGTTCTGAGCTGCAGCAAACTAACGTTAGCACCTTAAGCTAGCATGCTAACGTAAGTCTTCTAAAGGTGTATTACGTGTTCTAGAATGGCCAAGTTGGATAGTTTTGTAGTAAAAATTCTTCAGTGTAATTTTTATTATTAAAATAGTGTGTTCTGTCTGTGGTCATGTTTCTACCGACCAGAGTAAGTTCGTTTGGAAGACGAATTAGCTTCAGCTAACGTTCCACAGTCATTCTGCTGTGTAAACTTGAGCTGCACAAGTGTAATTTAGGGTCGAAAATACAAATGCTGCTTCTTGCTGTAACACGTACTCTTACTTGGTTTGTAGAAGTTGTTGAAAGAAGACGTGTAACGATCTAAATGTCTTTAATAAACAGCTGAGTTTATAGTTTGGTCAAAACTGCTAGAGGCCTGTCCATATTTCGTATAAATCCCATTTCTTTAAGTTGATTTTATCCATAGATCACTTATTTCTAATTTATGTTTTTTGGTCCATCACACTTTTTAACTGAATTGTTGCCCCGTCTGTCGGGGACACTTGTGTCACACTGTTTGCTCATTGAATTCTGTATCATCAGCATGGTTTCTGTGTGATGTTTTGTTTTATTCCAGCGTAGTGCGTCTTATTATGCAGTACTTAAAGGAAAACAACCTGCACAGAACTCTGGCCACACTGCAAGAGGAGACCACAGTGTCTCTGAACACTGTGGACAGTATAGAGAGCTTTGTGGCAGACATCAACAGTGGCCACTGGGACACTGTTCTACAAGCCATCCAGTCCCTCAAGCTGCCAGATAAAACCTTGGTAGATCTTTATGAGCAGGTGAGGTTTGGATGTATTGTTAAGCATATTGCTTAGTGCTATTAATACTGTTTTCCCTCAGCACTCATTAATAAGTTAAAAACCTATAATAATTCCTTGTTTTATGAAGAAATCAAAGTAAACAGGTTTGTGAAAAGCTGGCTGACAGAAAGGATGTTGTTCTCTTTGCTCATGTTCACTGTAATCTGAATAAAGGTTAGAAAAACATACAATGCAGATTTTAAAATAATGCTAGGGAGACTTAATTTGGACAGTCACCGCATGATTAAATTATTTTAATTTTAATTAATAATTTTACCTCAGTAGTTTTTTCTTCTGCTGTCCATTCTTATTACACAGTATATTATCATGTAGCTGTTTATTAAAATGTCTTTGTTGTGTCCTGACCAGGTTGTCTTAGAGCTTATTGAGCTGAGAGAGCTTGGTGCTGCCCGTTCTCTCCTAAGACAGACGGACCCCATGATTATGCTGAAACAGACTCAGCCAGAGAGATACATCCACCTGGAGAACCTGCTGGCTCGCTCTTACTTTGATCCTAGAGAGGTGAGTTCAGAGCCTGATGTATTGGTTTATTTCCATGATGTCACATAGGCATCAGTGGGTCTTGGGAGTCACTTTAGTTTTTCTTGGAACTCACTGAGAACCTCACTCACTCTGGTTCCAACAGATTCTCATAGCACAATTATTTTCTTTTGAATTTTTTTTTAAAGGGATCATTTTAATAGTTAGATTGCTCTTTAACAATAGGAAACCAGAGCTTGGAGGTGTGAAAACCACTCAAAAAATATCTAACTTTGAATTTTTATTCATGCTCATGCATTAAAGTGCATTAAAGCTGGGGTGCATAGTTTAGATGTATTACAGTAATTTAAAATGCTTAAATTTGACTATCCGACACTGTTCTATGAAATAAAGTAGGTACCGGTAATCTTTCATAACTAAGATTTCCTCTGGGTCCCTCTCCTGGCCTCTACAGCTCAGCGAATCATTTATGCGAGCCTAGAGGGTTGACCATCGACATAGATTGTGTTGACCATTAGAGCTGCATATCCACGAGAGGGAGCTGTCAATCAACGCGAGTGAACCCCAGATCCGAGCATGCACTACGGGGTCACTCACTCAGCTCACCGGCCTGCATTTAATTCATGTTAGTCTGTAAACTTCAAGCTAACGGTGGAAGAGTGGAAGAGTAAGGATGGGCAAGGAAAAGGAATTTAGCTTTTGTGTTTTAGAGCTAAGTGATCAGCATAGCATTCAACCTTGCACTAATTTGGACTGTTGATTTAGCCTGCTGTATCATTAGCACAGGTGTGCTACCATCACCAGATTCCTGTCGGTTTTAAATGTTTCCCTGCTTGAATGATACATGTTTGATGCAGAGTGTTTAGCAGCTGCTGCAGAACTCTAATTAGACCATTCAACAGGTGTTAGAATCAGGTGTGTTTGAGCAGGGAAATTAAAAAAGTTACTTGTCTGTTAGCACTAAACGTGCCATTTGGGTTAGCAGTGTGAGGCGGGGCTTTCAGCTCTTTCCAGAAGGAGAGGGGGAGAAGGGATGGGAGCTATAGCGGCGCAGATTTCAAAATCTCTTCTTCCTCTCTTTGATGTCACGATACAGACCACAGCTTTAAATTAATGTATAACAATTTTATAATTAAATATATATGGTTTAATTATGCTGGTGAAACTCTTTCCAGGCATACCCAGATGGCAGCAGTAAGGAGAAGCGTCGTGCAGCCATCGCTCATGCGCTGGCAGGAGAGGTCAGCGTGGTCCCCCCCTCCCGTCTCATGGCTCTGCTGGGGCAGGTGAGTAATTTCAGGTGCTTTTTTGCAAGCTGGAAATTGGAAGAGGTTTATTTGAATCTTAGTCCACCAGACATTTTAGCAGATGAACAATAATGACATTTAATGTGGATTTGTTTTCTTCAGGCTCTGAAATGGCAGCAGCATCAAGGTCTCCTGCCCCCTGGTGTGACTATTGACTTGTTCAGGGGTAAAGCTGCTGTGAAAGATGTAGAGGAGGAGCGCTTCCCCACTCAGCTAAGCAGACACATAAAGGTATACACACACACACACACTCTCTCTCCAGACATAAATAGTTGCCTCACTGATTCAAACAGTTCATCCAACCCTGCTGAGTTACCCCGGTTTCACACTGCAAGCATCAGCGGAATGGAACAGCAGCGGAGCGGCTCACTCGCGAACTTCAAAGCAGTCCTTTTCACACCGGGAGTCTTGGCCGCAGCACGGCTTCCTCGCTGTACCCGCGAGATTCTAAAATCTCTCATTGAGAGATCACAACCCCCGCAAGGAATCACACCGTTGCACTTCTCAAAAGAAACTGATGGTTAACAAAGCCGTTCGGTCACATGTGCTGACGTAAGTTATAAATAACATTGCAACGTTGCATTTTATTTTGAAAATAACTGGGGATTTTATACTGAAACCGTGTGTGGTTTCCTGTCTCGCACTATGTGAACTGCGGAAATTGGCGTGTCCCAGAAGTGGCTCATGGAAAAAATAGAACTTGATCCTATCTTTAGCGGCGTGGCATGCCGCTTCTGGGATGTGCCGGCAAGTTGCCGTGTCGCGGCTGGTTTGAAACACTCCATAGTCTATATTTGGATTCTATTTGAAGCAGTGCAGCTTCGCTTCCGTTCCGTTCCGCTGATGCTTGCAGTGTGAAACCGGGGTTAGGCTAACAGTCAGAATGAGTGTTAGTGTATTGTTTTAAGTGTTCGGATGTGAGATGTTTGTCCCTTTGTGCAGTTTGGACAGAAATCCCATGTGGAGTGTTCCCGTTTCTCCCCGGATGGTCAGTATCTGGTCACTGGTTCTGTGGACGGCTTTATTGAAGTCTGGAATTTCACAACTGGCAAAATCAGAAAGGTAGAAAGAGCCTCCTGATTCACTGCTTCTTCTAGATGACACCCCCCCCCCCCCCCCCCCCCCCCCCCGAATTAATGCAGGGTGTGTTGTGTTGTTTAGGATCTGAAGTATCAGGCTCAGGATAACTTCATGATGATGGACGATGCTGTGTTGTGCATGTGCTTCAGTCGGGACACTGAGATGTTAGCCACAGGAGCCCAAGATGGAAAGATTAAGGTAAACTCTGTTAGGGTTTCATTACTAACTTATCTAACTCGTCTTATCAATGTTAGTAGTAACTGATTCTGCTCATTTACACAGTTTAAAAGAAAAAAACCTCTAGACTTTGAGCCGGTCTCTGGTTTAAACACTCGCTGCTCTTCTGTTTGTAGGTTTGGAAGATCCAGAGTGGCCAGTGTCTGAGGAGGTTTGAGCGTGCCCACAGTAAAGGTGTGACTTGTGTCAGTTTCTGTAAGGACATCAGCCAGCTGCTCAGCGCCTCCTTCGACCAGACCATCAGGTAAACTCCTAACACGTTTCAGTTGTGTCTCGGGGTTTTCCCTTTAATGTTTTAATTCTGTCTGTCTTGTTCAAGAATCCACGGACTAAAGTCGGGAAAATCTCTGAAGGAGTTCCGTGGTCACACCTCGTTTGTCAATGAGGCCACTTTCACCCCAGATGGTCATCACATCATCAGTGCTTCTTCTGACGGAACAGTCAAAGTAAGATAGATTTAACTGCTTCTTGTTCAGCATCATCTCCTTTTATAACAGCTTTGTTTGTCTTCCCCCTCTTTAGGTGTGGAACGTGAAGACCACCGAGTGCACCAGCACCTTTAAACCTCTCGGCACATCAGCCGGCACCGACATCACTGTCAACAATGTCCTCCTGCTGCCTAAGAACCCAGAGCATTTCGTTGTGTGTAACCGCTCCAACACTGTTGTGATTATGAACATGCAGGGACAGGTGAGTCCTAACCTGTACACATCAGTGTTTTAGTTACTGTGAGCAGTTTGTTAAAAAGGGTTTTTGCTGAAAGAAAGTAGTGTTTGTACCTGTCCTTTTGACGTGTGCTTTTTGTGCAGATTGTGAGGAGTTTCAGCTCCGGTAAGAGGGAAGGTGGTGACTTTGTGTGCTGCACTCTGTCGCCCCGCGGTGAGTGGATCTACTGCGTGGGTGAAGACTTTGTGCTGTACTGTTTCAGCACAGTCACAGGCAAACTGGAGAGAACACTGACGGTACGTTTCTGCACCCAGACATGCATCAGAGACCAAAGATGGGACAGAATACCTGCTTATTAAAGTTAGATGATGGTCAGATGTTCCTGTAGAGTTTGTTCTGCAGGTTTAAACCAGAAATGGATCCATCCTTTGCCTCATTTGATCAAACACATCCTTTTTTTTTTACCTGCTCCATTTTACAGGGTTTTATTTATTTGTTTTAGAGGATTTTATGTATAAGTGTTAAAATTCCCCTTTGGGGCATCACCGTGCGTGTCTAGAGCTGCTGTTCTCTAAATCTGGGTTCTGGTCTGTTTCTGGACTGAAGTCAATCTGGATCTTTTGTAAGATGTGTCATTCTTAAGTTTATTTATTCTTTTAATAGCAATGCAGATTCGAGATTAAAGTGTAACCATGGCAACGATAACAGCCAGCACACTCATGATGCAACATTGACACACTTACAGGTTTATTAACGGGCTGCAGTCCTGCATCATCAGAGATCATGTCATGTCACCATGACGATACGTAAAAGTGCAAACAGAAACAAAAGGTAGACTCAGAAAGAAACATTTGAACGGATTTATTTCTTCCTGGACCAGTACAGGTTCCATGGTTCATGTTTGCTCAGTTTCCCGGCTAATTCCCAAAAACCTTCTAACCTTTATTGTCAAAAGTTAGATCATCTCAGATTCACAAGCAAACCGCTGTAGCCAACCTTTTCTACTTCATTTGTAAGTTTAGATCCTGTGTTATCCTTCTAGCTCGCTAGTTTTTTCCAGGTTTCTATTGAACCTTCAGAATAGGGCTGGGCCATGTGGCCTAAAATCAATATCACGATATATTGATGATTTCACCTCGATAACAATAGATGGACGATAACTACAGTTATGCGCAGAAACAAAAGTTGTCCACTAGATGGGGCTGTCACACGTATAACATTGAGTCACATTTTTATGTGACTCAACGTGGTACAGCTTCTTAAAGGGACATGAACATTGCTAACCTACACACCTTTTCTTTTTTTTTTAAATCAAATCTATTGACGCGGGGAAAATTCTCGATAAGAGTCAGAAATTTAGATAAGGATACATTTTCGATTTATTGCCCAGCCCTACTTCAGAAACATTCTTTCACAATAATGCTTTATCCTGTGTATCTGAAATGTTGTGGTTATTTCTCATGGTTGGGTCTTCTAGGTTCACGAGAAGGATGTAATTGGCATTGCCCACCACCCCCACCAGAACCTCATCGCCACATACAGCGAGGACGGCCTGCTGAAGCTCTGGAAGCCTTAAAGCTCATCGGGAGTCTGGACTTTCTCACTCTGGACCATTCTGTGTTCCTTCTGGGTTTTATTTTAGTTTTGTTGTCATTCTCCCTCAGTGCCCTTGGGATGATCCAAATGGACTTGAACATTTTACGGGAACACCATCCGTTCTGTTCAGTTTGAAAATGGTAGCGTGGAAAAAAAGAATAAAGGCTGTACAGTTTTTTTTAGTACTTTTGTATGATTAAGAACACAAGTGTTAAAGGCTGTTTGCTGTGTTTCACTCAGCCTGTGGGACGCTTTACTGTGTTAAATATAAACAATACAAAAGATTCAAATGAAGTTTCAATCTGTGACTTTCCTGTTCTACTAGCATGCAACAGCGGAACGTTCTCTTAGTAACACAGCATTGGCTTTGCTGTGAAGCTCTAGAAATATCAGTAGATGTCTGTATGGTGAGGAAATCATTCAAAATGTCAACCAGAACAATTAATTTCATAAACCTCCAGATAATTCAAATAAAGTCCTTTTGTAGTTATGAGTGTCACATTATCGGTCTGTTTAAACATAAAGGCTTCTGCTGAGCTACATCTGACTTCTCTGGGTTTATCAGAGGAAAACAAAGTTTTGAAAATGACAGTTTGTGTAAATATACTTTTAGTATTTTTTTTAAATCTTTGGATTTAAAGGCATCTTAGGATAAAGTCACATTTCCTTTAGTTTTTCTCATATTTACATGTGGCTTTTTTCACTGTTAGACATGTTTTTTTTACTGAGATCTTATGTTGATCAGTAAGATTTTTATTTAGTGTCTTGTTTTATAATTTTATTTGCCTTCATATGAATTTTCCATATTTGAAACCCTGATTTTATGAATAAGAAGGTCCAAATCCTGTCCTGCGTAACATCTGTGTGAAAAAAAATTAAAGCCTTTTAATGAATCTAGAGAAAGCTGGCTTCTGTCAAAAGCTGAATCTCACAGAACTGAAGGGAAGATTTTGTGTCTTTCAGGCTTACAACAATGAAATCCTTACAGTACAAATGCAACTTAAAACCTATCTAGCCATGGTCAACGAGTAGAAGAAAAATCAGCAGGTTAGTTTCTCTGTAACAAGTCAGATTTTGTGTAATTTAGTTGTGTAAAGAGCTGGCTGGAGCTGCTCAGCAGGAAATGTCAGGTTTTGCTGCATGAGCTGAGAGGAGGATGCACAGATCCTTCACAATAAAAGTCTTGGATGAAAACATGAAGCTGTCACCTTTTTTGTATGACCTTCTTCACCACTCTCTCTTTATTCTGCTCTCCCCACCTATTCCACCTTCCTCAGGATCCACTGATTTCCCTCTTTCCTGTTCACTCTCTTTCTTAACATTTTTTTCTTTTAAATCGCAATTGCTTATTCTTACTCATTTTAAATATATTTTTAAACATTTTCGAAATGCTTTTTTATATTTTCACAATATTTATATTTTTGTTTTTGTGAAGCGCCTTGTGATTTTTATCTTGAGAGGCGCTATAGAAATGATATTTTCTTCTTCTTATTGCTGCCAGCCTCTGTTTCCATAGTTTTTCGGTCAAACATATCAACAATGTTAAAGCACAGTGAGATTATAGTTAAAGTTTTTATCCTTATTTTAGTAGTATTTGAAGACTAACTGGCTTGTCTTAAAATATCAGCAAATTTGTTCTGTTGGATGTTCACTAACGTCTTTTCCTTTTTAGATAATAATTTTCCCCCAAAACAAGAAGTGTTTAAGAAATGTCAGTGTGCTCATCATTTAACATCTAAATTGAATCTTTCCCCTGACTGTTTTCAAGATTTTCTACAGAAATGTGTGACCCTTGATAACATTTAGCTTTGTTTGTATTTAGTTGTTTTTCTTTGGGGGAGAAGGTGTTCACTGCAACTCCCTTTGTACTTGTAAAAGAGAGGAAACGGTTTGCACAGAGGGGAGCTTGACAGAGTCCCAGAGCTGCAGGTCAGGAGGGTTGAATGAGTGTTTAGTGTTTCAGGGGTCCTGCAGGGGAGAGTTAGAATGGCCGCATTTCTCCACGTTACTCTTCTTTTGTTACTGAGCCATGGCTCCTGTGTTCAGGTTGATGGTGCTCCTTCTGATGGCTCACCAACAGTGACACCAGCTGTAGGTTCAGGTTTGGATTTGACCACTACCAGGAGCTTTGTTGGGAATTCCAGTGCCACAGAGATTCCCACTGCAGGATTCACAACCAGTAAGTCAACAACTAAAACCACCGTAGACGCCAAACGTCAAACAGAGGACGGTCAGAAACTAGAGACAAAGGATTCTAAAACAGAAGAGGAGGAGGAAGGTCCTCTGGAGTTAGGTGAGTAGAAATCAAAGAGAGTATTTTCAGTTCTGCATTCTGTAGAACTCTAATGTCTTTTGATTACTTACACACACACAGTGTAATTTCATGATTTAGTTTTAACCTTGCAACACTTATGGTCAACATACTTCAATGCAAAGAAAGAAATATTTCCAGCAGCTGCAATAAGATGCTCAAATGCATTTATTTGCAGCTTTATACAGATCTTACAATGGCTCAAATGCAACATAACCTTCAAATGTTTGCATGTTTGGAGAGTTTTTGTACAGATTCAGCACTGATAGGTTTTAAGGAAAAGATCCGTCATGTCCTGTTGATTAGTGACTCACTGACTGAGAATCTGCTCAACACATTTAAGCTCATTTAGCTGTTTAGTTTTGCAGATGTGTATTGGGGGGGGGGGGGGGGGGTATCTGTGGTCAGTGGCCGAGTCAACTGTGCATTATTGTGGTTTGTTCTGATGAAAAGCAGATGGTCTTTGTGGTGGCTCTGCAGGAGAAGCACAGACAAGTTCCTTTTTACCACGTTATAGTTCTGTTCATCACTGGCTGTGCTTTACTGCACTCATTCAAATCTATGCAGCTTCAAGGGTCTTTCACAAGCATTACCCGCTGTAGCTAAAGGCCGACAGACTTCTCTGCTTCAGACTTTTCTTTTGCAGGAAGATGTGAAGTATGTTAAAAAAATGTCAAATTCACCCAATTCAAAAGTAAAAATGCACACATTTATATCCAACATGCATCTTATTTTCTTAGTTTTGGATGATCTACATTTTCACTATAGATAAAGAAATCCGTTTGTGGACTTGGGATCATTTTCCCAGGCTGGATGCAACATAAAGTAGAAGGTCTTATTTGTCGTTCAGGTTTTAAAAATTATGTATTTAATAACAACTTTGATCAATATACAATATGAGATTCTACCTTTCAGTCTGCTGGGGTTTTTCGTGACTGATCACTTGACCTGTCAGTCAGGAAAATCGTTTTAGGGGGTTTGGCCAAAAAGAAATACTAATTTCACACAGATGTAAGATCTTGGAACAATGGTACAAAACAAGTTATCTTCAAAACTAAAGAAAAACTAAATTATTTCAGGAACCCAACATCACATATTTCCCATCATGCAAACTCCAACTTTAAACATTATCTGTTTAAAATATGACAATTGTTTCCAATTAGGTTAGTTAATTAAATAAATAGTCATATTTAATTAGTCTTCAAGAGGATCTGAATCATGTTCACCTTGAGATAATCTTAACAAACACCCACTATACAGGGCAGATTTCTACTGCCAAACAAACAAAAATCACTCCGAAACTGAACCTCGGATCTGTCCTATTTTGACTATTGAGGGGGGGGGGGGGGGGGGTGTAGCAGCTGAAGAGTGGGATATATGTACAGGGTATGTAAAAGTTGTGTCAGCAAAAGAGTAAAAACCGATACCAATGTTTTGTTTTAACAATCGACCGATAATATCAGACATCCCTAATTACAACATTTTATTGCACAGAATCAACATGAAAACACTTCAGACCACTAAAGGAACAAAACATAGGATGGCTCTTAGGGTAGTTGTTTAAATACTATAAAAACAAATGTATTTAGTTTCAATTACGGATGCACTGATATGAATTTTTTGGGGCCGATACGATATCCGATATTAATATCACGGTTGTGGCCGATAACCGATATTTGCAGATACACTGACATTAATGCTTCTAAAAGCAGCAGATTTTGTATAGAATGAAAATTATTAAAGCTGAAATTTATGTTGTTATGTAAACACACCACACACGTTTACACCTCTGAGATGATTACAATCACTGTCACATGACTAAACAAATACACCCCCCTGAAACAGATAAACAAATAGAAACAATATGGAAAAATATTGGTTGTTAATATCGGCCCAGTTTTATTTATCGGACCGACACCGATATGTTAAAATATTATACCGATATTGATGCCGACATATTGCGCATCCTTAGTTTCAGTATACATGTTGTTTTTCCTTCTTTTAGCAAAGAGGTCCACAAGGAGCATTAAGGTAACAAAGAAACTCAAAAGTGTCCTGAAGAAACCCAAAGCCATCAGCAAGAGGACAAAGGTTACTAAAACATCCAAACCGGAGGTGAAACCCGAAGTGATTCAGTCAGCAGAACCCGCCCCACGTATGTACTTGGACAAAGAGAATACAGTATGCTAATCAGACAGGGTCCACATTTTAGTGACAAATACGTTCTGTTGCTTTTCTGTGTGTTTGCTGTCAGGAGGAGTCTTGGACACTGAATTGTCCACAAGCTCACACAAGCAAGCAGCAAATGCCTTATTTGTCAATTCAACACTAAAAGGACCCTTTTCTGGATTGGTTTCCACTCAGACCACAGTGCTGATGACAGGCATTCTGTATACTTCAGTCCTATTAAAGAGCCAGCCTAAGCTGCTCCTTTCTGCATTAAACACCAGCTTGCTCCAGCGTTATTCTGATGAACTATTAATGAACACACCGGTAGCATCGTTACATCTTTCTACAGCACATTAACAACGTGTTTCCCTTTGAGACCACACTACTTTACTGCTTCATTAAAATGCCTTATGAGGAAAATAGCTGTGTTACTTTCTTCTTTATTCAAAACAAATCTAAATGGGATCTTTATGGGATGTAATGGTTTGTGGGGAAGGAGAAAAAGTGGTTTCCACATCAGATTTGTACTTTTTTCTCCTTCGTGTTAACTTTTAAAAACAATCTCTTTGTTTCTGAGAGGAAACAATGACTTTATCTGAAAACTAGAGACATTTTTATTAACATAAACATTTATGTTAATTTATTTTGGGTTTTGCTGTAACCAGCTGAGCGTTAATTGAAACCCCCCTCCCTTCCAGAAATTAGCCAGTCTGCCAAATTGCTCTGGCCCAGTTTCTGTAGTTTCAGGAAAAATGTGTAGTTTGGCAGCAATCCAGAGGTCAGCAGAACCAAAGGAGGCATTTTGAGCAACAGAGGTGATCCTGCAGGACCACAAGGCAAATGGGGAAAGGGCTACTACAGAAAAGACCTCCTACATTTAGTAATAATTTAAACAGATTCTATACTTCCACCTGACACTTTTGAAAGTTTTGTGACAGGAAGAAGTCTTTTGAGCTGCGCTGAGACAACGCACGTCGGTCTGAGGCAGTGGAGGATGTTGGATCATGTAACAAAATATCACAGTTACTAAAAAGGTTCTGCTTCCTCAGTGCCTTCCTCTGCAAACTCAAACTTTATTCAGTAGGAAAAAGTCTTAAATAAAATGTTGCTCCCTGGATCAGGAGAATGTTCAGGTACAATAAAAGATTTTGATGTAAAATGATCAGCTAAACTGAGTTTTGAGGTATTTGAATGGGTTGGGTCATGTTTTCCTCACCTGTTGAGAACCAAATCTTTTATCATTATTATTATTAGTGAATTGTTAGTAAAAATTTACAGCTGGAGATTTTTCTTTTTATGCTGACTGTGAATAAGCATCCACTTATGTTCATCACTTTTCAGGGCTCTTCCATCTAATCTAGCTAGTCATTTTCAAATGTGTGTTCACATTTCTGATTTCTAATCGAGGGTGTGTATTATGTGGCTGCTGCTTTTTGAGTTTTGGGAAGTGAACTTTATGTACTTTTGGATAAACATTCTAGCATTTTTCAAAACCTTCACAATGCGAGTGACCATTTTTGATCTCAGTTTGGAGCATAAAGCTGAACAAGACAAAAAGTTTTGAAAGGTTTTTGAAAGGATAAAAAATAATTTGAAGTGGAAGCAAATAAAAAAAAAGTTAAATGACCAGTAACCTTTTAAAATGAAAAAAAGGTACATAAAATGAAGAATTCAGGCTATTTCAGTGAGTGCCCTTTAGATGGTTAACCAGCACTGATGTCTGAAATGTAAAAAGGATTCAGCTTCTTCAACAGAAACCTTTTGCAGCATGTTTCAGAGGATTACAACATTAAATTACTTATTTGAGAAATACATTTTTTTCTCTGCTGAGATTAAAAAATCTAATAATACAAACAATATACTTGTGTTTCTTTTCAGTTCTGACTTGCAAAAACGATTAAAGGGATATATGAACATTTTTCTATATTATTATAACCCTATATCCCAGAGTTAGGTAAGTGAGAAAAAAGCATTTTGTAACGGGCGCAGTAATTCTCCTGATCTGGCAGCAGTCCTTCTGCCTTAGCCTAGCATTAACAATGGAAGTGAACAGGCTTTTTCACCCACTGTGTTATATCAATGCCCTGCTGGTCTTCTCCGCGTGTCTTCACGGGCGCTGTACCCCTACACCCAAAGGCTCTCCTATTCTTTGTATTGGAGATGGGTTCCAGCACGCATGCACCAGTTAGCGTAGGTCTATGATAGAGATTGCTGCGCCCAAAAGTAACAGGAAATACATCACAGGACCATTCTGTAGTATTAAAAGTGTAAATAACATTTTTAAACTACACTTAAATACAGATTATACGCAGTGCTTACAGTCTGTATGATGTATAAAATGTTTACGTAGTTTAATTTTGATGGTTTTTTTTTAAATATTTTGTGATTTTTCTTCTTCCTGTGAAGACTGGTGGGGTGGCGCCCTATCGCTCCTATGGACGAGCCGCCACTGATGCTAACACTAAATTAGAAACAAATAGTTCCAAAATAGCTCTAAAAATACCTTAAGCAATTTTTCTCATTTACCAAAAACTCAAAATCACAGTGAAATGTATTTATGTACTCATCAGCTTACTGAGTGTGACTCATTCATCTTCACTTGTCATCTGGAATTCTCTGGGCTGATCCCTATCTGGCAACAGTTGCTCAGAGCAAACTGGTTTGTTTTTAAACATGGACTGCAGTACCCAAATTTGACCACAGGATGTCATTCTTACTTCCTACACCTTTAACGTTTACATTTTCATGCTTCATTGACTATTAATCAAATCTGTTGATGATCCCCTGTAATCAACAGTAACTGCATGTTAAAACAATGTGATCACACTTCTTCACTGGAAGACTTGATGCTCATCTGCTCTATTTTTAAACACTTATATCATGATTTCATGGTATAAGCTAAATTTCCACTTTGATTGTGTCAGAATGTCCTCCACTGGGTCTGGAGTCACTGAAAGTCAAAGACTATCAGCTGAGGGCTTCATCCTATAAACGCAGAGGCCTGGGGCCTCACAGAGGTCGACTCAACATCCAGGTATGTTGTTAAAGCACAAAATGTTTATTTTTCTGTTCTGATTACAGACCAGTGCTATCATCATGGATTTTGTGTTGTAGCGTCACACTTTGTAGCGTGACAACTGCAGTTTATTTGTGACCAATAAGGTATGATGATTCCATATAAATATGAAATATCAACCTAACTGATCTTTGAAGTTTAATCAGAAGATTATAATTACTTTTACTTGTTCGGGGACCATAAACACACTTCGTATTAATTCAGACAGAGTCAGGTATATAGTTAAAAAAATGAATTTTATTCATTTTCCTAAACCAATGGTTTATACATGACAAGATATGAATAATGAGATGTGATGTAGTGGATATGAGATGACGTAATGTGATGTGTGAGGTGGTGTGGTGTAAGCTAGATGTTTAGCAGAACCTTCTTTGTATCTGAAAGAAATTGTGAAATCTGGGTGTAAAATAATTTGTTGTCTGCTATAAACTAGAAAGTTGGTTATTAAAACAGCATCAGACACAATCTGTTGTGTCTTCAAACCCTGGCGGAGACCCCCAGCAGATCCAGACTGTCAGAAGTCGGGTGGACCTCACAGTAGATTAGCTCCGATACCGTCCAGTCTTGAGATGCCGTCCGGGTCACAACAGTAGCTGGAATGCTTGTGTCCAAGGTGGAAGTGTGGCTCTTAAAAAGAGAGCCGCCTGGCTGTGTCAGCTTGCAGTGTGCAAAGAGGCTTTTGTAGGTCAAATGTGTTTCTTCCGGCTCTTGGAGAGTACAGACGCTTTTTTTTCTCCTCTCCCTCCCTCCTCATCCCAAGGTTCTTTGTCCTGTCTTTGTGTGCACGGCGCTTTCTGCATTTTTTCTGGAAACTGGAAATTATTAAGCATGGATCTGGTCAGTTGGTCTCTCAATGCGATTGACAAAATTTTTTCAACGATGAGAACGGGAGAAGGGGCTCCCAGATGCCCCTCTGGGACAGAGCCAGCTGGGTATATCATGGACTCCTGGAAACAGTGGAACCTGATCTGCCTCTCTCAACTGTCTGTAGAGGACTCTGAAGTAGTCTGGATATTCGTGGTGTTGGTGTCAGGTTTTCTGCTTTTTGGCCTGGGAGGTAACCTGGCTTACCGGAAAATTAACAAGCTGTCGAGGAATATTGGCTCTTTCCCGGAGCTCAGGGATGGATTACACCGCACTGTGAATGCACAGACTCATATAATTGTCAAGATGAGTCGTAAGCTTGGAACTTTGGCTGAGATTCATGCATTGGCACAAAAATGGATGTGATCAATGAGCGAGTGGACGAATCAGCACGGATTGGGATAGATTAATGTACGCCATTATTGGATTCAGAGAGGTTGGAGAACAACAGAACTTTAAGACAGAGAGGAAATTATCTCTGTCTGGCCCCAAAACTATTTCTTATCTGAATCTGGTGCCCTTGAGCCTGTGAGTGTCATGTTCTGTGCCCCTTTTGTCCCCAGCTCCCTCCTGGTTTCCCTCATGTTCTCCATCTTACCTGCTCTCCTGCTTCGAGTCATTCGGTGGTTCTACATCTTGGGTCCAAACCTCCTGCTCGCAGCTTGACAGTGAGGCTGAAACGAATACCCCCCGGAAGAAATGTGGAATGCTGCCGTCGCCATGGCAACTCAGTCTCCCTATCACAGCCTGGGCGGGACTGCAAGCTGGGAAAGCCGCTGAATCGTTCCAGGAGTCACTGTGCCCTCTAAACCCAACGACCTCCTCACCCTGTCCAGACTGAGGTGACGAGCGCTGCTTATCGCAGCTGCATTCTGGCTCCCTTGTCAGACCTTGGGACAGATTGTTTTTATGTCTGCATTGAGGATCAATAGGTGAGCAAAGGGTTGTTTTAGGAGTCCACATGGTGTTGCCCTGAAAGGTTATGTTGTGTCAGTTAGATGGTGAAAAATTGACCCCTTTGATACGTAACAGTGTGTTTGTGTGTTACAGTCTGGGGTCGAGGACGGAGATATCTATGATGGAGCTTGGTGCGCCCTGCACAGAGACAAGAAGCAGTGGCTGGAGGTCGATGCTCAGAGGCTGACCCGCTTCACTGGGGTCATCCTGCAAGGACGCAGCTCCATCTGGAGGTCGGCATTCCTGCGGCATCAATTTGTCTTTGTCGAACAGGTTTATTTCCTAAATAAAATTAAACCAAGTGTGTCCTCTCACAGCTGGAATGTGGTGCATACCTTCAAGGTCCAGTTCAGTAATGACACACTGCTGTGGAAGTCGAGCATGAATGGGAGTGAAGAAGCTGTGAGTTAAATTATCAGTTTTCACACCTGTTAAATGTTTAATTTATCATATTTTCACCATGTCTTATTGTGCTTCAGATATTTGAAGGAAACCAGGACACCGAAACCCCCGTTCTGGCCCTTTTCCACACTCCCACAGTAGCACGGTACATCCGGATCAACCCACAGTCCTGGTATCAGAACGGGACACAGGGAGACATCTGTCTGAGGGCTGAGGTGTTGGGCTGTGTGCTTCCTGGTACAAGAAGCCAAAGCTGGAAACGGTTTTGATAACCATGCATTTACCCTTTGCCAGCCTGCAGAAACATTATCCTTCTCTTCCTACAGATCCTAGTAATGTCCACGAGTGGCAGGCAGAACCTTCTGAGTCCAAGGACAAACTAGACTTCAGACATCACAACTACAAGGAGATGAGAAAGGTAGGTGTGAGACACACTCAGATTTTACTTTTATTTTAGAACGGCCTTGTCCACAGAGACATGTAAGAAACTCCAGTCCACTGCTGGCATCTGCCAGGCTGTGGTTTGTGTACAGAGGCTAGACGGTTTCCACAGTGTGTGTGAATTTGTGTGTGTTGTCTTAAAGTGACCAAAATATAAACACTACAGGTAGCTTTGCTCCATGTTCCTCACTACGTTGCCTCATTGACAGAATGGTTGTTCAGAATCTGAGACTCAGAAAAAAGAAATAAGCAAAGATTCATAAAACATTTGAAAAATGCAACAAAACCCACACAAAGCAGACAATGATTGGCTCACAACGTGTTTTTCTGGAGTGTTAGTCATCTTGTTCAGTTTGGAAGGTTTTGTAGAGTTTTGCTACCATGCAGACAAACACATAACTTCATAACCACAGACTGTCTTTCTTGTGAAAGCAGATTTGTGCCATGCAAGGGGAAAACAAGATAAAGAGCATGTAGGATTCAAACTCAAAGCAGAGGAAAGTAGGCTAAAAAAAGTCTCAGACCGCAAACTCATGAGGAGCCTAAGCCATGCCCATCTACATTACTTCTGGACCACGGGAGGTTATAGCCCGTTTATTTACATTCATTTTGTTTTTAGGTCAGGGGAGCCTTGAGCCGACCGGAAGGGATGGAGCCCTGGAAGCTAAATAATTTATTTCTGTTTATAAATCTACTTATAATTATTGTCTGATAAACTCAAACTGAGAACAGTATTAATAAACCATTTCATAAGCTTCAGATGTTTTGAGGCTTATAGAAAATGTCTCGTTATTCCATCATGACCCTTCTATGGATGTAGCATGTCGTCTTTTCCCCCAACATTTCAACTTCATTCTGGAAATAGTTCCCAACATTTTGACTTTAATCTCTTCACTAAACATTTCTTCTCTCCAACATGGCATTAGTGCTCCTTGCTCCCCACGAATTGCTGTAATGGTGCCATTAAATTTAATCTAACTTATGTTGAAGCTGATGAAGGTGGTGCATGAGGAGTGTCCCAACATCACCCGCATTTACAGCATCGGGAAGAGCTACAAGGATCTGAAGCTCTACGTCATGGAGATCTCAGACAACCCAGGAAAACACAAACTGGGTGAGTTCACTGACCTCACTTGACCTTTACAGTCTCTAATACACCCCACTTTTATCCAATTTTAACATATTATGCGAAACTCAACTTTTGTATTGGTTTTTGCTGTCCTGGGCATCTCTACTGCTGCCGCTATAAACACTCCACACATGAAAAACCCGTCCATCTTTTTTCTGTCCGTCTTTGGTTTTAGGATTAATGTATCATTTCAAAAAGTCCCCGTTTGTGACATCACAAATTTAGAAACTAGCATAGGAGCAGCAGCTCTACTCCGAGCCACTTCAGGATATTGGAGCTTCGAAACTTATTGACCCTTTGCACGTGACGTCACGCCACTCATGTGACCACCCCCTTCGCCATGATGGACGACAAAAAGGCCATTTACACCCATTGAAACTCCAGTGAAGCTGGTCAAAACAAGCCAGCTTGTAGACTTTTTTTGCTTTTATTTAGTTGATTTGATAGTAAAATGGTTTTAGCTTGCTGCGTCGTTGGCTGCACTAACAGACAAGGATGTAAACTCAACTAGTTTTGTTTTTTTAATAACTTTGAGACTGAGGACGGAGATGAACTGCCACGTCAAGTGGACTAGCAGGCCTCAGATTTGCAGCGAACATGTTTTTACCGGGTAAGATTAACGTTCATCTATTTCACGAGGAAAACAGGGACAGGGATAAATGTGATGTGCTTATTGATAATCCTGATGGATGGGTATTTCACCACGGAGGCTGCGTGCCGTCCACTGTAGTGTAAAGCGAGATAATTATTAACAATATTAAAGCTCTGATGTATGATTACGTGTTAAAATTACTTATTTATTTATTTATATGAGCGTCGACGTTCAGAGATCTTCTCATTCTGGTGTGAGAGCAGCAGCTCAACCCGGTAACACCACCATCAACAAGGGATCCGGACTTTTTAACAGTCAGCTTTGGTGTAAAGTGAAATGCTGTTTATAACATAATGTTATAAATCCAGCGGGGGTGAATTTAGGCAAAGTCTGCAACATGTTTACTTCGGTGAACAGCTGCAGAGAGAACGTAAGCTAACGTTGGTAAGCTAGTTAACATACCGCTCTCTATGAGCCCCGGCTAGATGCGCTACTTCTGATAACTGAACTGGGCATGAACTAGTTGAAGGAATGCTGGAGGAGTTTTGTTTTTGTTTTGATCGAAAAAAAAATTTCAGGCTCTACTTTTCCCTTTATTTAGTAATCGTGTCGCTCACTGTTTACATGCTTTTGCCGTCCAGCATGGTGGACCCACGTGATTAGGTGACGTCGGTGCAAAGGGTCAATGGCAGCCGGGGTGGGGGATGGGTGTGTGTGTGGCCAGCTTCAGCATGTTTCTTTAAAGTGACAGAGCCCTGAAATATCTCAATCTGGAAGGCACAAATAAAACTGCTGAGATCGCTTTACGTGAGAGGGATTTTATGCAAAGGACTTTATCAACATGTTTTGTATTGACCATAGAACTATTACAACTATAAAAAATGGTCACAATCCTTTAAATTTTGTTAAATCCAGCCTAATTTAAATAGGTATTTTTGTATGAAACTGGAGCCCATAACGAACAGGACAAAGATCTGGGGTCTCATTCATCAAACATTGCGTAGAATCCTTACTAAAACCGTACTTAAGCTCAGCAAAAAAAATGTACTTATGCCAAGTAGGTTTGTGATCTCTCAAACATGGAGTACACACAGCTGCACGCAATCTCCTTCATAAATCAGAAACTATCTAGAATGTTTCTCAGCAGCACTTTAGTCACATCCCGCCCTCACCACGCCCACTTACTGCCATAAATAGTCAATGCAAAGTGCCTTGTGGATCTCATGCATATACATAAGCCGGCTGTTGCAGCGCTTCGCTAATGACGATGGCGACCATAGATCAAGGCAGATCAAGGAAGGAAGCGCTATTTCACAGAAGCAGAAATTGAGGTACCTGTGGGTGAGGTGGAGAAATTAAAGGAAGTGCTTTTGCAAAACAAATAAGAGAAAATCCTCGGAGTGGCACAGCGTTGCTGAAGCCGTCAATGTTGTGAATTCTTCAGAGAGATCTGTGGCAGATATAAAAAAATGGTCCAATCAGGATTCGATCCCCAGACTCCCGGGTGAAAATCACACGCGCTAACCAGTCAACCAAACAGAGATCTTTCCTGTACAAGTAGGCAGGGCGCATGTTCAATCGGGTCACAGTGACAGAACACACACACACACACACTGTCACAGACGCATGACATTCTGTCTCAATCTGTCCCCCTGCTGATACTGTGCATTCCGTATTCTGTGCTTCAGGCTGTGTGTGTGTGTGTGTGCGCGCGTGCGTGCGTGTGAGTGAGTGTGTGCTCACGTGTGTGTACGCGCACGTATGGGGGGTCTTGTTCTGTGTGAAAACAAAGCAGTACAAGTGATAATGCTGCAGGATGTCATAATTGTATCCTTCTCAGCAGCAGCACTGCAGGTGCTCTCCATGTCCAAAATGTGCGTAAACCAGGTCCTTAGTCAACTTAAAGTTGTGCACATTCTTCCGCTAAGTTTTCTTTCATAAATCCCAAAGTTTGCGTGGAAAGTTGCTTACGCAGTTTTCCGACCCCGTTTTGTGCGTAAGCAAGCCTGATAAATGAGGCCCCTGCTCCCCAGTAGTAATTTTTACAGTGTAGAAAGTATTTGTGATCATTTTGGATTACAAGCACTGTGCTACTTTAATTAGCTTGTCCATGAGCTGCACTTCTCAGAGAAAACCTTTCACAGAGGAATAGATTATCTGCACTCACAGAGCAGTTTAAAGGGTCAAAGGTCGGATGGGATCCGGCACTACCAGAGGGGTAAACATAAAGCGGCACAGACCGGAGTTCCTCTTTGTTTGCTCTGACATGTATAAAAATGTTTTCTTTGGCCTCTTTTGCCCATGTGGCAGCAGAGTGAGGGATACTCCTGCCAAAGCAGAGTCAAGGCAGCACGGTGGAGCTGACGGAGGCTGGAGAATACTTATATTGATGAAGTCTAATCTTCTGACCTTGTTCTTGTGAAATTCCTTTTAACAACACAAAAATATGTGACTTTACCAACAAAAACCAGCATTCAAAAAGGACAAATAACACACCTCTAAGGGAATTGTTTGAATGAGAACAATTGCAGCAGCAGTTAAATGAGCACGGACCTCTCCTCCTTAATGGCTTTAGGAAGAATGTGTGACATTTCAGAGATGCCTGCAGGATGATGATGTATCAACATAGTTGGTCCAAACAGGACACACATTACAGCTGGATCTGATATGATGCTTATAGCAGTGCTAGCATAAACATAACATTTCCTGATAACAAACCTCCTTTTTGTCCTTTCATCATCTTTAGGAGTGCATTTATAAATGTAAGATACCTAAAGTTTTGAGGTCAGGAGCGTAGTTTTTCATTAAACTTCGTGTGTTTTGGTGCCTCCTACAGGAGAACCAGAGTTCCGTTATGTTGCTGGGATGCATGGAAATGAGGTGCTGGGTCGGGAGCTTCTGCTCAATCTGATGGAGTACATTTGCCAAGAGTACAAACGAGGAAACCAGAGGATCCTCCGCCTGGTCAGAGACACTCGCATCCACCTCCTGCCCTCCATGAATCCTGATGGATATGAGATGGCCTTTAAGAAGGTGTCAGAATGCCACAAGGGCGTGTCAAACGTTTAGAACCACAGTGACACCATAACTCATCGTGTTTTACTTTGACCCACAGGGCTCTGAGCTGGCAGGCTGGGCCCTGGGTCGCTACAGCTACGAAGGCATAGATATGAACAGCAACTTTGCTGATCTCAACTCAGGGATGTGGACCGCCATCGAGCTGGAGACGGATCGGTCCAAACTCATCAACCATTACTTCCCCATCCCTGAACAGTACACCTCTGAGGATGCTTTTGTAGGACATGAACACACCACTCTCATTCCAAAAGCAGCAGCTTTTCTTCATCAACGTCCTCTAAATAGGAATGTTTGCTGATAAACTTAAAAAAAAAACTAAAAATACACAAAGAGTAACTTCACAAAATCAGAACATAAACTGTTTTTTGTTTCAACTCATTCGGACTGTTTAAACTACTACAGGGAATTAAATGAGCTAATGTTGAATTTGAAATTTTTCGTTTAAGACTCTTTATACACACGCTCATCCAGTCCAGCTATAATGTTCTGTTAGATGTATTAAATAAAAAGTGTGGGTGGAATTTCATTATAAGGCCTTTCATGTTCCAGTATGATGAATTCAGCTGTGGCCCTGCTGAGGCTCTCAGAAGAATAATTCCACCTTTATAGTCACAATGACGCACGCACGCACGCACGCACGCACGCACGCACGCACGCACACACACACACACACACACACACACACACACACACGAGGAAAACATTGGATAACAGGAACAGAAAGAGAAAATGAGTTCTGGTCTAACAGGTGTGGGGCAAAAGAAGCTCTAGCTGAGAACTTTAAGTTTAAACTACAGTCAAAAGAGAATGAGTTTGGAGATTCATGTTTATAAATTACTCCAGAGTTTCAACATGTTAATCAAACCTTCACTTCTTGCATCAAAAGGCAACAAAACAATCTATCCTCTGATTGGACAGTTTAGTTTTTCATCATCTGACAACCAAAAAGGTCAAATTGTGCACTCATCCTTTCACTCACAGTTCTAGAACTTTTAAAATACACACTTTCTTAGTTTCTTTGGGATTTAACACATTTACTTCTGCCTATTAATTTTTTCTGAACTCATCACAGTTTAGTTTCAGGGTTGTTTCCCAGGGTTGTGAAGATAAACATCTGAGTTGAAAATCCTTTTGATCTAATTCTGCTTGTGATTTTCTCCATGTTTAGGTGGCTTCTGAGACCCGTGCTGTCATCAGCTGGATGCAGAGCATTCCGTTTGTCCTTGGTGCTAACCTCCATGGAGGAGAGCTGGTTGTCACCTACCCGTATGACATGACCCGGGACTGGGCGCCTCGTGAGCACACGCCCACCCCTGATGAGAGCTTTTTCCGCTGGCTGGCTACGGCGTACGCCAGCACTAACCAGGTCACCCTTATGTCTGAATACCAACTTCATCAGGAAGGAGGCGGAGCCTTGTAAATGCTCTTGTTTTTTAATATGAACAGGTGATGTCAAACCCTGACCGGCGGCCGTGCCACAACAAGAACTTCCTCAGATACAACAACATCATCAATGGAGCTGACTGGCACAATGTACCAGGAAGTAAAACTCTTTGTCTTATTCAAAGTTCATGTTTGTTATTAAGATACATAAAGCTGGTAAGATTGTCCACATAAATACCTAAGCACATGTGTTTAGACTACAAATAAACAATTCCACGTATTTAGATGAAACTGTTATGATTATTTTAATTTCTCAATCCTTTTGTGTTTATCTAAGTACTATTGCATCGGTGAATAAACCTTGAAGAGGTCCTTCACTGACTACTTCATTTTTAAATATAATCAGTCAGTCTGAGTTTGTCATGCAGGCTGAACATGAAAATAGTCTCCTACACCCATCTCCTGCATTAGCTTCTGATAGAAAACAGACGGTGAAACTCTAGGATTTAAAAATCCTGACAGATGTACGTCACACTGTCACTTAGCATTCATGGACTCACCCATCTTGACTCACACACAGCGGGGAAGGCTGTTGTTGTTTTATCATCTAGGAAACAGCAGAGAACATCCTGGCTAGTGGAAGCTAACCATTAGCATTAGCATCTCCACCGCACAGCAGAATTCCTCCAGGCTTGTGTTATTTGTGGAGATTAAACATCAACATTGCACAGCAGAGTCAGTGGTAGAGTTGTGTTATTTTAAACCGATCAAAGGTGAGATGTCCAAATATCAGGAAATAATTCTCCAAATTCTGCCTCTGAAGCTCAACTCTGATGTGGCTCTCCTCTAGTTCCTAAAACCAGCGCATCTGAGCTATTTACCCCCAAAGTGTGAATTGAAAGGCATTCATTCTTACTAGAGACAACTGCAAATGTATTAAACATATGAGTGAAGGACTTCTTTAATGCTAATCTGCAAAATCTAAATGATTGAGCTTGACTGATTTGTCTTCACCTGCAGGTATGAATGATTTCAGCTACCTGCACACCAACTGCTTCGAGGTGACGGTGGAGCTGTCCTGTGATAAGTTTCCTCATGTCAGTGAACTTCCCATTGAGTGGGAGAACAATCGCGAGTCTCTACTGGTTTACATGGAGCAGGTCAGGCAGCAAACATTTTTATATGGTTTACATCTTATTTCTTATGTACTTGATATTTTTCTACCATCTTCAGTTTTAAAGAGAGCATATAGCAGGGAACAGAATTACGCCAGCCTCCTTGTGTTTAATTTGTCTAAATTCTATCTGCCCATTGTGATGCATTCACTGTACCCTGGAAGTCCCAACTTTCTTTCACCTTTAACCTTGTGTGTGTCCAAGCTTCTCACATGCTCCTACAGTAGCCGCAGCATTCACACACGTGATCAACGCTTCACTGATATCCGGTACATTTCCCACCTCTCTCAAGCATGCTCAGGTTAAACCGCTGCTAAAAAAAACATCTCTTCCTCCAAATCATGTGGAGAACTACTGACCTATCTCTTTCCTCCCCTTTCTGTCCAAAATCATTGAAAGGGTGGCTTTCAAGCAGATCACAGAATACCTCTCTCAAAACTGTCTGCTTGACCCTTACCAATCTGGGTTCAAAAAGGGCCACTCCACTGAAACTGCTCTGTTAGCAGTGACGGAATCCTTAAAAGAAGCTAGAGCGACTGCCAAATCCTCAGTGCTTATCCTGCTCGACTTATCGGCTGCATTTGACACTGTCAACTATGGCTTCCTTTTGTCCACACTCTCTAGCATGGGCATCACAGAGAAAGCACATGCCTGGTTTGAATCGTACCTCACAGGACGATCATTCAGTGAATCTTGGCTTGGACAATCCTCTACCGTGCACCACCTTGCCACAGGAGTCCCCCAGGGCTCTGTACTAGGACATCTTCTCTTTGCCATATACACCACCTCACTGGGTGAGATCATTCGATCACATGGCTTCTCCTACCACTGTTATGCAGACGACACCCAGCTCTATCTGTCATTTCCATCGGACGACCACATTGTCTCTGCACGAATATCAAACTGTCTCTCTGACATATCAAAATGGATGAAATCCCACCATCTCCAACTCAACCTCTCTAAAACTGAACTACTTGTCATCCCAGCAAAACATCCATACAGCACAATATCTCAATCCAAAATGACTTCCTATCTCTGGCTCCTTCAAAGACAGTTTGAAATCTGGGTGTTGTGATTGATGAACACCTGACCTTTAACGACCATGTTGCCTTTGTTGCTCGTTCATGCCGCTTTGCGCTGTATAACATACGAAAGATCAGACCATACCTAACACAACATGCCACCCAGCTCCTGGTGCAATCTACTGTCATCTCCCGCCTTGATTACTGCAACGCCCTTCTAACTGGTCTTCTAGCCTGTACTGTGAGACCTCTTCAAATGGTCCAGAACGCAGTGGCACGTGTGGTCTTCAATCAGCCAAAAAGAGCACACGTCACCCCTCTGTTCATTGAGCTCCAATGGCTACCGCTAGCAGCACGCATCAAATTCAAATTGCTAACACTAGCATACAAAGTCCGAGATGGTACGGCTCCCATCTACCTGAATCCTCTTGCAAAGGCTTACGTCTCGGCCTGGCCGATCCGGTCATCACAGGATCGTCGGCTAGCAGTGCCTACACCACGCTCAGGACAATCCAGACTCTTCTCATGCATCGTTCCACAAATGTGGAATGACCTACCAAGCACCAACAGAAGAGCAGCTTCCTTTTCAATTTTGATAAGATTTGGAGGTGCTGATCCTCATCCCAGCCGCTTCACACTCGGCCGCAAACCTACCCAGCAAGAGCTGAAGGTCAGAGCTGGATGAACTAGGAGGACCACATCATCCGCAAAAAGCAGAGACGAGATTCTCCTACCACCAAACTTGACACACTCCACACCACAGCTGCGCCTAGAAATTCTGTCCATAAAGGTAATGAACAGAACCGGTGACAAAGGGCAGCCCTGGCGGAGTCCAACCCTCACTGGGAACAGGTCCGACTAGAAGAAGAAGAAAATATCATTTCTATAGCGCCTCTCAAGATAAAAATTACGAGGTGCTTCACAAAAACAAAAAATGTAAAAATATAAAAAAGCATTTAGAAAATGTTTAAAAATATATTTAAAATGAGCAAAAATAGGAAATTGTGATTAAAAAATGTTAAGAAAGAGAGAAAGTGAACACGAAAGAGGGAAATCAGTAGATCCTGAGGAAGGTGGAATAGGTGGGGAGAGCAGAATAAAGAGAGAGTGGTGAAGAAAGTCATACAAAAGCCAGCTTGAACAAGTGAGTCTTCAGCTGCTTTTTAAAGGAGACCACTGATCTCAGGCTCAAGGGGAGAGTTCCAGTTTGCCATAACCTATTTGGAGCCGATCGATAGTCTTTCTCCATGGCCTCACCAAACTCCTCCCACGCCCGAGATTTTTCTTCGGCAACTGCCACTGCTGCACCCCGCTTGGCTATCCGGTACCCGTCTGCTGCCTCCAGAGACCCACAGACCAGCCATGCCCTGTAGGCCTCCTTCTTCAGTCTGACGGCTCCCCGAACCTCTGGTGTCCACCAGCGGGTACGGGGGTTGCCACCACGACTGGCACTGGCTACCTTGCGACCACAGCTAGCAACAGCCGCCTCAACAATCACAGAGTGGAACAAGGCCCACTAGGAGTCAATGTCCCCCACTGCTCTCAGGGTTAGGGTTAAAAGCTCTGCCGGAGGTGGGAGTTGAAGACCGTCTTGACAGGTTCTTCTGACCCTCACTATGCGTTTGGATCTGCCAGGTCTACGCGGCATCTTCCCCTGCCATCTGATCCAACTCACCACCAGGTGGTGATCAGTTGACAGCCCTGCTCCTCTCTTCACTTGGGTGTCCAAAACATACGGCCGCAGGTCAGATGATACGACTACAAAGTCTATCATCGACCTGCGACCTAGGCTGCCCTGGTACCAAGTGTACTGATGGGCATCCTTATGTTCGAACATGGTGTTCGTTATGGCCAAACTGCGGCTTGCACAGAAGTCCAATAATGAAACACCACTCGAGTTCAGATCAGGCGGGCCGTTCCTCCTAATCATACCCCTCCAGGTCATACTGTCATTGCCCACGTGAGCATTGAAGTCCCCCAGCAGGACAATGGAGTCCCCTGATGGAGCACTATCTAGCACTCGTCCCAGGGACTCCAAAAAAGGTGGGTAATCTGAACTGATATTTGGCACATTAGCACAAACAACAGTCAGGACACGTTCCCCGACCCGAAGGCGCAGGGAAGCTACCCTCCCACCCCCTGGGGTAAATCCCAATACACAGGCAGAGAGTCTTGGGGCTAACAAAAAGCCAACCCCAGCCCTCCGCCTCTCACCCGGAGCAACTCCAGCAAAGGAGAGTGTCCAACCCCTCTCAAGGACTTGGGTTCCAGAGCCGATGCTATGTGTCGAGGTGAGTCCTACTATATCTAGCCGGTACCGCACAACCTCTACCACAAGCTCCTGCTCCTTCCCTGCCAGCGAGGTGACGTTCCATGTCCCAAAAACCAGTTTCCTTGTCCGGGGATGGGACCGCCAAGGCTCCCGCCTCGGTCTGCCACCCAATCCACATTGCACCGGACCCTTCATGTTCCTCCTGCGGGTGGTGGGTCCACAGTTGGATGAGCCCATGTATCCGGTTCAGGCTGGGCCCCATGGGCGAAAGCCCGGCCACCAGGCGCTCGCTCACGGGCCCCAACCCCAGGCCTTGATCCAGGGTGGAACCCCGGTAAGCCTCCGGGCCGGGTACTCCGACTCTTTGTTTTTACGTCCATGAAAGATCTTTTGAACCGTTCTTTGTCTCACCCTTCACCTAAGTCCCATTTGTCATGGGAGACCCTACCAGGGGCACTAAGTGCACCAGACAACATAGCTCCTAGGATCATTAGGGCACTCAAACTCCTCCACCACGATAAGGTGACGGTTCAAGGAGGTTTTGTTTATGTTAGGGAAAAATGTAATAATGACATTTCACAATATTGATTTAGGTTCATCGTGGAATTAAAGGTGTAATTCGGGACAAAGACACAGGAGCTGGTATAGCAAATGCCATCATCAAAGTGGAGGACATCGATCATCACATTAGATCAGGTGAAACTCAAGAAAGTAAAACAACATTTGTATTGGCTTTAAAAGTGATATTTCAGACATGCTGAAAGAGCTTTCATTGGAAATGTTTGGATCCATTACTACCCCACTTGTTGTAAGCAGCTCTTTGAACAGCCTCCATTTGGAGAGACAGAGTAGTTTTGTTTTGACAAATGAGTTAAAGCAGGGATAGAAAACTTCCTTCCACAAGAGCCGGTTTCCAGCAAGTTGTTTCCCTGCTCCAACATAGTTGATTTACCTGTTCAGCAGCTCATCAAGCTCTGCAGAAGCCCACTGATCACCTGCTGATTAAATGCAGGTGTGTTGAAGCAGAGAAACTAAAACATGCTGGATACTGGTCCCTGGGGAGGGGAGTTGTCAACCCCTGAGCTAAAGGATAGTCAGATTGGGGACACAGTTCGTTTGTGTGTGCAAACCTCCAGAGACCCTATATCCCCACTTGAAGACATTTGTTTTATGCACAATATTTTATTCTGTTCAGTTTGGAGTTAAGACATGTTGTCAGTGTTCAGGAAGATTTTTATTTAAGGGACATTCTTATTTATGAGGTCCTGCAAAAATGGTAAATGGCCTATAGTTAGCATTTCTTCTGAGGACTCCAAAGCACTTTACACTTCACACACTGCCAGTGTGACACTGGTGGTGATGAGCTCCACTGTAGCCACAGCTACCCTAGCGCACACTAACTGAAGTGAGGCTGCCGTACACCAGCACCACTGGTCCCTCCGAACACAAGGAGGATGAAGCGTCTTGCCCAAGAACCGGCAGGCACGGCTGCAGCAGAACCCCCCCCCCCCAAAAAAAAACAAACAGGGGAAGTGAAAACTACACAAGAAGAAAACAAAATCAGACCCCAGGAGTTTAGATAACTATAATCTCAAAAATTGAGTTCACGAAGCTGATTTCTGGCTGGATCATTATGAAGATTCTGCTTGAAAAATATGAAATGTAAAATTTCTGACAACATAGAAGGTTAGTAAACAGTAGTTAGAAGAACTCAGAACCTTTAGATTGGAATGGTTTTAGGACACTTTGTCCCATTGTAACTAGCTGGTTGTCCTTAGTGTGATCAGCACTGGTCTGTTTCTCTAAACTCAGGATATTCAAAGAGCTGTCTGACAGGTAGTAACACCAACGTTTTACATCCTCTAAACTAGATAGCTTAAAGTACCTCTGCAATGTTAACTGTGGTATTAAATAACAAATGGTGATAATATTTATTAGTGTTTTATTTCATGTATTCTAACTTTTAATGCCGAGTTCTTCTCCTGGTCACTGGTGTTTTAGTGGCTGATGGGGACTATTGGAGGCTGCTGAACCCTGGTGAATACAGAGTGACGGTCACTGCTGAGGGTTATCTGCCCAACTCACGCAGCTGTCACGTCATGTACGACTTCTACCCCACTATCTGTGACTTCTACCTCACCATGATGCCCAAAGAGAAACTAAAGGACATTCTGAGAAAGAGAGGGAAACTCCCAGAGGATGTGCAGCTCAGACTGCGTCAGCGCCGCCTACGTAAACTCCGCGTCACCACCAAGGCCATCAACCAGAGGCGTGCTGCAGCCGCCAAACGGGCAAAGAGGGTGTGATGAGGGTTAAGAAGAAATGTTGGAACAAAGCAGGGCTTGGTTCAGACACATACACTCACTGGATTCATGTTGGTTTTTGTTTATAATAGAAGCTGATATTTTATCAGACAGGACCAGTCTGATCTTCTGCTGCAGAGCAGCAGAACAGATGGGAGCTACGTGTGTGACAGCAGCTGTTTGGTGGCACATGGGTGTGATTTTTACTTTGATTAGGAAATAAAAATGTGGTGAGAAAGTGAATTAAATGAACCTTTATTACACAGCAGATATTTACTGTACAGTTAAAAAATTAAAACAAGACTAATTTGTTTAATATTCACTTAAGAATCGTGAGTTTCCACTTGATACCGTTCCTCATCTTTGGTGCAGCCGGGACCTCGGCGTCTATAGTAGAAAAAAAAAAAGACTCATCTGTGGCATCGTATTTTATATATTAATATATTAAAAAATAAACTCCATTCTTGAAATATCCTTACAAATAGAAGTGATGTTTAAATGTCAAAAAAGGAGAGATTGGAATAGTAATTTTTTACATGTTTAAAACAGAAATCTGGAGTTTTTTTCTCACAGGGCACCATCTAGAGGCGGAAATAATGTATTGCATCTTAAGCCCCTCTCCCTACTTCCGTGATTATGGCTGGAAGCAACACCTCTGCTCATGAATGCGCACTTCTAGCCAGCCAACAGAGCTAAACCACATTATTTTACTATTGTTATTCTCAAGTTATGCTGTTAATTCATTCAAAACTATTTTAAAGACTTACTTCCCCACAAGAACTCTCTCCAACTCTGCAGCTGTCCAGCTACTTCCACGAACACATGCATGCTGTTTGATATGTACGCATGCCGGGGTCTAACGTTATTGGCTAATGTTGAGCAGCAATCAATTCAGATTGCATGGGGCTTTATGGGATGAAGTGGGGGGGGGGGATTACATTTCTGAAGTGATGGAGGTGGATGGAAAGAACAAGAAGTTACATTACAGATTCTACTGACCCTGCTGTGAGGCTGCAGGTTTCTGCTGCTGCTGGAACGAAGCCATGATGCTGTTTGCTGTCGAGTTCGGTCCAGTGACCTTCAGGGTTAGAAAATGAGCAAAAAAGGAATTAAATGATTTTCTCCGCACCAATGGTTCCTTGTTGAGTCTCAGTCTTGTTCTCCAAAAGGTTTGCATGTACCGGAGCGCTGGTGTTCTGCAGACCTTCGGGCCACACCTCAAGAACTGATCCCTCCATCATCTGCAGAGCTTCGTCATAAACCCGCTGCAGCTTCTCAGCTTGTTTATCAAACTGGAACAGAACCAATGCCCTCAGGAGACCGTGGATCTCCTCTGTGAAGCGAGTTTGGGTTTTCAGAGTAGATTTTTTTTAAAGTTGGATGTTTCACAAGCATTACACTCACCAACCAAATGCAATTTAATGAAACAAAAATAGTTTTTCTGAAACAATCATTTTTAGCTCAATAAGTCCTCTTCTGTTGTCTTCTTACTTCAAACCATATAAAACATTCTAGTGTTCTAGAATAAACAGAACAAACCTACAAAATAATGTTTTCAGTCTACACGTGGGGTCCTGACTACGGTCATCATGGAGACTTGGGGAACTATTATTTCAAGGACGACACAAATGCAGTCAGAAGAGGAAACTAGGATGCTCTTGTGTCTGTTTACCTCTCATCTTGTCCACGGTAGTGATGATTTCACCGATGACATGCATTAGAGCTTTGTCCTCCATCGGACTTCCTTCCTTCAGACTCAGCTTCTTCCTCTCTGCTTTCCGTCGGTTTTTCGATGACCTCCTGCAAGCAGAACTTTGAATATTTTAAACAAACGACAGAAAATAACTTCTTTGGAGGACTGAGTGTGGTAGAGAGTCTTACGAGGAGATGCGTGAGTTACTCTGGGAGTATTTGGAAGCAGTTATGACACTGCTAGCCTCAGAGTAGAGCTCAGCATCAGGGCAGTCTGGACCATCTTCATCTAGCAGAGGACAAAGAAGATTACTGGTTAGACTGGAGATGAGAAATACCAATAATCATTCATTTTAACTGGGCAGATATTACTGATGTTTCTTTACAAATGAAGTGTTTGAAATACAAAAAGACATAATTAAATGGACTATATAATGCAAAATCTACTTTTGGAGCTTTTGACCATGTTAAATTATTTTTTCCTCATATAAAACACCCCTGAAGCAGTCTTTGGCTTCAAACATGCATTCTCCTGTCTCAGCTGCAGCTTTTTGCAGCAGGTTTGTGTCACCATGCACCACTACTCCCCGTCCAGGTAGTGTTGTGTCTGGATCCCTCCTCCCTGGACTGTAAACACTAACGCCCAGTCTCTCTGCGTAGCTAGCAGGGCATTTAATCTCCACACAAAACGTGATTTATTTCTTACCTAGTCTGCACTTTAAATAATGCCTAGAACCCAAGATGGATTTTTGTCTTTTAGAGGAACAGAATCCCTGCAACCCCTGAGTGGGACAGTTCTGTGTCAGTCCCACTGCCCCAATGGCCAGTTCACAGTTGGTGTGCATGTTGCTTCTTCTTCATCTGTTTCTCTGTGGCCCTCGATGCTTTGCTGGGAATTTAGAGTTGCATTATGAGATGAGTGCAACTCATAAGGGTGGAGGCAGGGTTTCATCAAATCCAAGCGTCTTAATTCTGGGTTGAGAAAATCTCTCACTTATATGTCAGAAAAAATTATGCCTTCTTAGTGCCAACAGTAATGTTTAAGTCGTATAAGGGCCTACCGCTGCTCTGAAGGGTTTAAAATAGCATGACACAGTTCCTGTTTTCATTTTACCAGAACATTCACTTATTATTCTTAATCTAATCTTAATAATCTAATACAGGATGAGTCATCCATCCGTCCATCCATTGTCTGAACCCGCTTGTCCATGTAGGGTCGCGGGGGGTGGGGGGGGTGTGTGGGGGGGGGGGGCTGGCTATCTCCAGCAGTTAATGGGCAATCAGGTGGGGTACACCCTGGACAGAGAGCCAGTCCATCGCAGAGGATGAGTCATATGTTTGGTTATTAAAACGCAAGAGTGGGGTCTTGAAGTTATCTCTGCAAGACAAGCTACAATTAAATATTATTTCCAACACCATATTTCTGCCACAGACGATTTCGACAGTGGCCCTAAATGGATAAAATAATGAGTTTTAATAATTAGTAATTGCATCTTTGAGTCAGTGACAATTATAGTTGAAAGCAGGGTTCAAATTACAGGCATGCTTCTGGGGGAGCTATGTCTCCCTGGGTCTGTCTGTTGATAGCTTTAGGGGGAGCCATCCTCCTTTGGGGCTCCCCCTAGCTCCCCTGTAATTCAAACCTTGGTTGAAATTGTATTTATTAGCCACTGCATGGATCAGAGGTAGAAAATTTTGGGAACTATTGTATCAAACCACATGACCGTGACCAGAAATCTAGAGTAAAAAGTAAGTACTGATGAATTTTACACACAGTTTTTTTTAAGTACCACAGAAACCCCCTCAGTTATTCTCACCAAGCATATCCAGTCGGGCCTTTTCTTTCTGCTCACGAACCACAGCTAGTCGGCTCTTGTGTCGGGTGAACGTTGCTACCTGAGCCTCCAGAAAGACCACCTGAGTGTTTAAAGCTAAAAGAAATAAAGCCAAAATACTTTATCAGCATCTTAGTGATAGCTTTGCATGTTACTCTTTACAAATGCTACAGAAATGTTTTACGCGTCGTTTCCATCGGTAATAACTGCAACCTTGAGCGGTGTGGAGATCACGTTCGGGTAACTCACACAGCGGTGCTGTTCTTACCTTCTAAAAGTGCAGGTTTCAGGTTGGTTTCAGTGATATCTTGCCTCTTGTGCATGTAAATCTTAATTAATGACAAAAAATCTCTTAAAAAACTACAACACAAATACTATTGTTTACAGTTGTAAACATGCTTACTGACCAGTCTGAGAGCCTCCTCCCAGACGCCGCCTGTGATCAGAGCCAAAATGGCTTCCTCACAGTCCTGTTGGAGAGACGTGAACAAATGTGACTAAAATCTGTCCTGAATAGCAGATGTGGACAGCTTTGTGAATGGAATTGAACAATCATTTTGGATTTTTAGATTTAAACACAGATGCCTCCAGCTGTTAGTCGCTGGAGGAAATCTTACTTTGGCATACTGATCCAGCAGCAGAGCAGCTTCTGAGTACCGCCTCTGCTCAGTCAGCTTCTCTGATGGAACCAAGCAGAAACATCCATTAGAAGTGCATGCAACAGTCCCGTGGCAGAATATTATCAGTTAACTGCCTTTCTGTCAGTCAGACCACCCGTTGTCATGGTTACCTGCCAAGTCTCTGGCCAGCAGCGCTAACTGGTCGGGCGGTAGTGGTATCTGCTGTGCCACACAGATGGCGTTTCTCCAACTGGAGCTGCTGGTGAATGCCTGCAGGGCTCTGACAGGCTCGCCACATCGCCATAGCAACAAGCCACCCTCCTCTGCCCGTTGCTGCTCCACTAGATGCTCAGCGTACGCACAACTCAGAAACTGATGACAAAAAGGCCAAGTTTAGTCTCAATGCAGATATTTGTGAATGTGATAAATACACAGGAAGTGAAAAACTTGTGAAAATAAAAGCATCTGAGTTTTTACTTTGTACTGAGGACTATCTGCTGGGTACAATCTCAGAGCTTCACTGTAGAGCTTCTGCTCCTTCACCAGCTGCAGAACTTCAGTAAAGTGTTCCTGTCCTGAGCATAAAGAACAACACAAACCAGATTACACTGATGTCCATCTCCTCCCATAGAAGATGGTATAGTGTGTCCAACACACACAAAAACGGTAAATCAACGTCAGAGTCGCTGACCACATTTGCTGAGGTGGACCAGGGCCTTCCTGTAGCGTTTCAGGTGTCTGTCAATGGTGTAGCGTTGATAGTTGGGCTCAAGGCTCTTCAGCATGTTTAAGAAAGGGAGGTACTCTTTAGGGTCCTGCAAGGGTTGAGAAAACAAGTTTAGCAATAATTAAATATCAAAAACCCCCTATACCTGTCATGCAACTGCACTTTTGTCTTTGTTATAAATCACGCTCAGCAGGGCCACAGCTGTGTCCCTGAATAAACCACAATCTATGGAGACATAACCTCCAAAACTCAAGTGAATCAAACCTCATTTGACAGCAGAAACCTTCACACCTGAGAACATTGTTTAAATTTGAAAACTCCTTAATGCAGTCAGCTGTTGATGTAGAGCAGAACTTTAGTGTTCAGATTTTTACTAATATGTCATTTTTAAGACTTAAGAAGAATATGAATTAAAAACATCAATATAAAGCAATTTTTGCATTTTTTTAAAATAACGTTATCACCTTCCCATTGCCCACCAGGGGTTTTGATTTGATGATTTAGGACCTTTTCTTGAAAGGTTTGGACACCCCTGCCTTATCCTCCAAGACTCTGTGTCCACATATGAGGATGTTGCCTTCTTGCACTATAGTATTTTATTCTCTTCAACTTAGTCATTTTCTTATTATTTAGAAACACTTGATACTGACTTTAAGTTGAAACACTTTTCTTTGTCTTTCTTTTTATTTTGGTAAGTTTATCAAATTTTTTATTTCATTCGTTTCACATTTCTGAGAACTGACCAATCTGCAATGGCTACAACTGTCTTTTCTTTTAAACCACACCAAATACAAATTCAGGTCATAGGAGGCTAAAGGTTTAACTAAAAGAAAACGTCTACGCCTAAAACCATCAGCTACCCTAATGACCCCTTTAACAGAATGGTTATTCATGTTTATGATGAGAATTGTTTTAATGTTAATGTATTTTATACAGTTCAGATTTTATTTGGGCTGTAGCACATGATATCATATTATTTTACAGTCGGAGTAAGGTCAAACACAAACTCCCGTGGTGCATCTCATACCTTCTGGGATTTCTCAGCCACCATCAGAACGAGGTCAAAGTCGTACGTTCCAAGCGAGTGTTCGTACAGATCGTTGACATTGACCAGGAAGAGAAGGTACTTTAGTGCCTCTTCAGCGCTCACACCACCTGGTGCTTCAGGAGGGTTCTCTACACACACACACACTTAATGAAATATATGTAGGAAATAAGAATCCCTCAATTTGCAGTGCAGGTCGCAACCTGAGCTCACCTCGAAGCTCGTGAACCTTCTGCAGGGCGATCTCCAGCTCAGGAACCGTCTTTTTCACATGAGCGGTCAGAATGGACAAGCTGAACCTTAAAGGAGACCATGACATGTTGAGCAAATGCTACATTTTCTTCTGCCCTAATGTTCTGATGCATCGTTAATTATTCTAGCAACACTTTTAGTTATTAACACTAGGACACAGTTGCTGAGAGCACATTTTAATTCCCTTTAAATATTAGTTATATAAGCAATAATCTATTTTTAAGATGCATATCAGCTTAGAAACAACAGCAGATGACGTTCAGCTTCCAGCTACAGAAGGAATAAAACACGGACTTGTTCGGATCCATTGACTCCATGGTTGTCCGTAAAGCGTCACAAACAACATCCACCTTCTTCTGGCCGGGGGCGGCCTGAGGCTGGACCGGACTTCCATCTGGGCGGGGGTACATGCTGCTGGTTGTGTCCTCCTCCCTGGGGACAGAACCAGCTAGTAAATAAGAAGTTTTTTTTTTAACATAATAAACCACAAAACCACATCTTACTTGAGCTCGGTGAGGAAGAGGTTGATGTGGTTGATGGAGTTCAGCTGTTGGATGAAGCTCGCTACATTTTCCAGGAAAACCTAAAGACAAAGTTTTTATTTTTGATAAACTTTTTACATTGCTCCCGTCCAGAATTCCCCGTTAGAACACGATGATGTAAACACAGCAGCAGCAGGTAAAGCAGCTGGCTCATAGGTGAACACACGTGTTAAAACCGAATGAAAGCAGACTGTCATCCTTTTATCTGAAATCTGATCTGAGGTCGATCCTAAGCCAATGTTAAAGGGCTGTTACCATCAACATAATAGGGCCATATCATAAAAAATCATGAAAAAATTGGAGCTTTTCTTGTAAAGTGACAATGGAAACTAATGCTCTTCTCCTGGAAGCTAGTCTCCGATCTGAAACCTGTCTCCCCTGGCCAGCTGGATATGTGGCTCAGGCGACTGCCGTCACGTAGATGTGGTAGTCCAGGGGTTAGACCGCTAGGCTGACATGTAGTTTAGTGCAAGTTCGCATGGCGGTCTGAGCAGTAACTTTTTTCTTCTTCTTTTAGCTACACAGCATTTTACTCAGGCTGACAAAAATAACTCATATTTAAGATAAATGGCATCTCAACAGTGCCAACGCTAATATTTCATCATATGCTGTGCCTACTTTTGTTCTCTAAGGTTTAAAATAACACAAACCTTTAAAGCTTCATTGAATTTCTGCTGGTAAAGATTTTATGTGCTGCTTTGCATGAAGCTAAACGTCTTAATGTCACTGCAGTGTTGAGGTTAGCTTAATGCTTCATTATAAGCCAGCCCTTATTTGGCCTTTAGCTTTTTGTCAATTTTAAAATTTAAAAGCATAAATGACACTTAAAACAAAAAAAAAGGTTCTTCAAATGTTTAAAGATTTATTTCATATCAAGAATAAATACTTGTTTTTTTTTAATTCCCAAGATATAACTTAAACAAGTATCACTCCAAAACTTCATGATTGGTTCATAAAAACCTTTGGGTTGTGATCATAGATGAGATTCAGGTTGATCCGCAGCTTCCTCATACACTCGAAGGCTTCTCTGAATTTCAAGCTGTTAAAAAAATAAAAAAAGGTTAACAGCTTCATAAAAACATCAATAATGTGCTCAAAACACAGCTGCATACATATTATAGTGAGGGTGTTCTGCTGGGGAAGGCAAGAGTAAATCGTTGCACACGTTCCTACTTCTCGCTTTAATGTGTTCATTGAGTTTTTTTTTTATATCCTGACTTTGTTTTGTAGCATTTACATTAGTCATGTTATTTTAATGCTTCATTTTGTTTTACAGGTGAAACTTCAAAAATTAGAGTAAGATAAGATAAAATAAGATAATCTTTAATTAGTAAATGGTAAATGGCCTGTATTTGATATAGCGCCTTCTAGAGTCCTGGAACCCCCCAAGGCACTTTACAACACAATCAGTCATTCACCCATTCACACACACATTCACACGCTGGTGGGGATGAGCTACAATGTAGCCACAGCTGCCCTGGGGCGCACTGACAGAGGCGAGGCTGCCGAGCACTGGCGCCACCGGTCCCTCCGACCACCACCAGCAGGCAACGTGGGTTAAGTGTCTTGCCCAAGGACACAACGACAGCGACAGACTGAGCGGGGCTCGAACCTGCAACCTTCCGATTACGGGACGAGCACTTAACTCCTGCGCCACCGTCGCCCCCAAGTGCCACAAGTGGGAAATTTGCATTGTCACTGCAGCAAGTAGACAGTACAGGTAAAAAGCAGCAAATGTTTAAAAAAACACTGAATTAAAACTATAAAGTAAAAATATATACCAACAAGTAGAACCTTGTAGTACACTGGCTCAAGCAGTCTAGAAATAAAAATATAAACATGTATGTTGAGAAATGTCAAGGTCTATATGTGCATGTATGTAAAGTTTGTGCTTGATACATGTATGTATGTACACGCAGAGTTTATGTATAGTAGAGTAGGTGTGTATTTAGAGTATGGTGCAAAAGTTCATTTAAGTCACTAATTCATCTTAAAAGGTATACAAGATAGACTCATGACATGCAAACCCAGATATTTCAATATTCTAGACTCAAAGTGTCTCACTCTACTCAGCTATTGAATCCTAAACACCTGCCAAGGCTTTCTGAGCCTTTAGATGGTCTCTCAGTCTAAAATGGATTACTGACATTAAAGGAGTTTTGACCGTATTCTAATTCTTCCTGTTTCACCCGTAGATACACGTCTGTTACACACCCGCAAATACACGTCTGTTACACACCCGTAGATACACGTCTGTTACACACCCGCAGATACACGTCTGTTACACACCCGCAGATACACGTCTGTTACACACCCGCAGATACACGTCTGTTACACACCCGCAGATACACGTCTGTTACACACCCGCAGATACACGTCTGTTACACACCCGCAGATACACGTCTGTTACACACCCGCAGATACACGTCTGTTACACACCCGCAGATACACGTTTGTTACACACCCGCAGATACACGTCTGTTACACACCCGCAGATACACGTCTGTTACACACCCGCAGATACACGTCTGTTACACACCCGCAAATACACGTCTGTTACACACCCGCAGATACACGTCTGTTACACACCCGCAGATACACGTCTGTTACACACCCGCAGATACACGTTTGTTACACACCCGCAGATACACGTCTGTTACACACCCGCAGATACACGTCTGTTACACACCCGCAGATACACGTCTGTTACACACCCGCAGATACACGTCTGTTACACACCCGCAGATACACGTCTGTAACACACCCGCAGATACACGTCTGTTACACACCCGCAGATACACGTCTGTTACACACCCGTAGATACACGTCTGTTACACACCCGCAGATACACGTCTGTAACACACCCGCAGATACACGTCTGTTACACACCCGCAGATACACGTCTGTTACACACCCGTAGATACACGTCTGTTACACACCCGCAGATACACGTCTGTAACACACCCGCAGATACACGTCTGTTACACACCCGCAGATACACGTCTGTTACACACCCGCAGATACACGTCTGTTACACACCCGCAGATACACGTCTGTTACACACCCGCAGATACACGTCTGTAACACACCCGCAGATACACGTCTGTTACACACCCGCAGTTACACGTCTGTTACACACCCGCAGTTACACGTCTGTTACACACCCGCAGATACACGTCTGTTACACACCTGCAGTTACACGTCTGTTACACACCCGCAGATACACGTCTGTTACACACCCGCAGATACACGTCTGTTACACACCCGCAGATACACGTCTGTTACACACCCGCAGATACACGTCTGTTACACACCCGTAGATACACGTTTGTTACACACCCGTAGATACACGTCTGTTACACACCCGTAGATACACGTCTGTTACACACCCGTAGATACACGTCTGTTACACCTAAAACTGAGCATTGATTGGTTTAGAGCCTTCTACATTTGTGTTAATCTCGTCTTACTTTTCTCTGTGAAACATTTCATTTAGATGAAGTTTGTTTATTGTAGTATTCTTCATGATTAAGCTTGATCAGGCGAGAAAGACCTCTAGCCTCAGCCTAGATTACAGCAACTGACTCTTTTAAAATGTGTAAAAATGTGTTTGGAAATAAACTTCATTCGTTCAATTCATACAACACAGTTTGCTTCCGGGGCACAGTGGGGGTTTCTCTTTCTTGGGCCATTCTTTAAAAAGCCAACATTTTTACAAAAAATAGAAATTCTGCTTTTATCTTGACAACTTTAGTGTGAAATACTTTCAGCTTCATCAACAAGTCCTTAACTATTTTTTCTTCACATGGCACAAGTCCCCCGTCGTACCGTAGTTAATGGATACAGAGTGAAGAGTACCCAGAGCCAATCAAACTCACCCATCCAACCACTTCCTGAGCTGAGCCAGCACCAGAGCTCTGTGATGGATGGTCTCCAGGTTTCCTCGTGGCATCTGAAAACACAGACAGAATATAAATGAACCACTCGTGATAAGATGTATGAGCAGAAAGGTGTTTTAGGGGAGCTGGGTTTCTGGAGGCAATAACCAGCGGACCTGTAGAACCACTCTGGTGTCCTGTGGAACCACAGTGACGATCCTGGAGCCTCGCTCCACATGCCGAAGAGTCTCATCATTCTGACCTCCATCAGACGCCAAAGCAGCCTGCAGACCTGAAAGGTCAAAGGTCAGTTTTACTCCAATTGTACCCAAACATGCACCATCAGGAACAATAAATAAATGTGTACATTTACAGGCCAGAGCTGCCTCACTCAGAGCTGCCAACTGAAAAAAAAAAAATCCCCCATATCCAGCTGTGCCCAGTACAAGCTTTCCACCATCATGCGGCGGTGTTGTTTTGATAATAAATTCTCCTTTCTGATTGGTCATTTGTCTCTGTCCCACCTTTGACTGTGAGTCCACTCAGCTGGAGGCAGCGGCAGGTGTGAGAGTGTGTGGTGAGGAGGAGGAAGTTGTCACAAATGGCAAAGGAACAGACGCCTGAGGCGAGCTGAACAGGAAAAAAGCTTGAATCATGGTGAATTCTTAACGTTAGTCATTTTATCCTGATGATCAGATGGTGCTGTCATACCTCTGTGTCTCCAGCATACAGGTGAGACCTGTCTGTCAGCCCCAGAAGGTACTCCTACAGATATTTGCAAGGTAACACATCATCATATTCTTTGTGCACACAAAAACATAAAGCTAAAGCAGTTTCTGTACCGTTCCACTGATGCTGCAGAGAGCCGTCTGGATGCAGGGAACAGGGAAGCTGACGCCACAGCCGCTCGAGTCTCGCCAGTCTTCCACTGACAGCTCCGGACAATCTGCATGAAAATAAACTAAAATAAATAAAACCAGTTTTTGCAAACAATCAGAATTTGCATTAAGCTGCTGCATATTTTAAACAGGATTCTCCCTGGTGTGTAAAAAATAAATAAATGTATTTCAGTGCTGCTTTGTTTTCTTCCTTTCAGAGGACAACCCCGTGTGTGGTGTGTTCAAAATCCAAACACTTAGTTATCATTTCTGTGTAAATAACATCTGTTCTTTAAACAGCAGAGGTCACAGTTACGTTTGTAGTGTTTGTTTACGGACTAGAGGTTGACCGATTCTGGTTTTCTATTGCAGATACTGTTATGTATAGGAGACATGTGTACTACCAACTGTTATGAGCTGATTTTCATGGTTGACATCTAGATGTTTTCCACCTTATGTTCATGCTAAAATGTCACTAATAACATCAGTTGATTGAAATTTCTGAAGCTGACTCAGATTTTGACCTCTGAATGTAACTAACTGTTACATTTTAACTTTGTGCACTGCTCAGTGTTAAAGTCAGACACCTAAATAAAGTTAATTTATAGTATTTATTATGCAGATGTCATTAGTGAGCGCAAAATACATTTAAATTAAAATCTGCAACAGCACCGGGCTGCCCGAGGATGTGCCTGACACCCTATTCATGTGCCTTTAAGATTTATCGGTCTACCCCGATTACGGACCCCAGAGGAGTTTCTTTATCTGCCCGTCCTCCAGCTCTAGAGCCACGGTTCCGGTCTGGAAACTGTGGGCCACACCGACCACAACGCCGTCTACTTCCATCTCAGACCTGTGGCCCCAAAACAGCATAAACAGAAAAAAGAAACAGGAACAGTTTTATACCTGCACTACATGTGCCGCACACACAGAAATGTTTCCTGACCTGACAGCCAGTGTGTCATCAGCATCCTGAATAGGGTGAAGCATCAGGATCGTGGAGGAGGTCGGCAGCAGACCAGCACCCACAGCCAGGAACAGCTCATCCTGCAGCCACAGGAGCTGCCGCAGGGCCAGAGGCTGCTCCTGAGCAGGCGTCAGTCTGCAGGAAACAAGAAACAAACAAGGAGAAGCTCTTCATTCATCAACCACTAATGTGCACATCTAAAGTCACTTTTAACAGCCAAGCATGGATCACTACAGAGTATAAGCATGTCCAAAGAAATCATTATCATTCATATATTTTGCTACCTGTAGGTTTTCTGTAAGACGAGAGGTTGAGACACAACCCTGAACCCGTCTGATGTTTTGTCAGCTTGTTCTTCTGAAACTGGATTCAAAAGAAAACATGCTGATTAGAACAAAAACACACAGTCATCTGAATCAAAGCTGTTTTCTTTTACTACCAGTTGGGTTTTTCTTTCTTCCTGTATTTGTCATTTGCTTAGTTTATCTGTCAAAAAACATCCTTCAGTATGAAGAACATTAATAACAAAACGTGTTAATATTATGAATATATTTAAAAGTAGCCTCGTTGTTCAGATTTCAAAATATTTATGTCCTCAATACTCAGCTGCATTAAGCGATGCACGTTTTAAGGTTACATCTCATCTTTTTCAACCCATTCCGATCCTATGAAAATCACTAGTCACCCGATTGGCCCAATTTCCGATCACATGATCGGATCAAAGCATCCCTATTTAGTATAGTGTCCATCTTCTTCATATTCATATGTAATGTACTGTTTGTTAATCATTTCAAGATGAAATAATAAGTTCCTGAAACTAAGGCCTAGTCCACACGTAGCCGGGTTTATTTAAAACGAATATCCGCCCCTCCAAGAACTTGCATCCACATCACCTTGTTTTAAAAACAAACTCTGTCCACACGTACCCGGATAAATACGTTGTTAAGGACATACCAGACCTGTAGGCGGCAGTACTTCCCCGTTCTTAACCTCGTCCTTCGTCTGTGGTCTTCCGCAAGGAGCAGTAATTCCGCTTGCAAAAACAAACAAGCAAAAAGCGCTTGGACAATTGATAAAGCGAGCGCAGCTCTGAGGGCATCCATGCTGTCGGCTAGTGTAAACACAGGTCGCACACGTGATGTCAGCATTTTTTTGTCGCGGAAAGTGACGTTGCGGACCTTAAAAGTCCGGTTTTGTCCGTCCACACGCAGACACCCAAAACGGAGAAAAAGCAGATCTTCACTTTGGCCGGAGTTTTTAAAAAGATCCGTTTTCGTGTGAAAAAACTCAGTTTTCGTGTGGATGACAGGCCAAAACGTAGAAAAATATCTACGTTTTGGCAGATCCCCGGCTACATGTGGACAGGGCCTGAGTGTCAAAGAAAAATAAGTAAACAAAGGAGTTTTCCTCTCCACTGTCGCTATGTGCTTGTTTAGTCTGAGGGAACAGCAGCTTTTACCTTTCAAAGGAAATTCATACATTCGTTAAGATCGTGTCGTTAAAGGGAACCCTGTTTGTCTCTGACCTTGACTGAAGACTGAGATTTGTCCATTAGCCGTGAATGCTGCAATCTGATTGGTCCCCTTAGGTCGACACAGGAAAGTCACCTGGTTGATCGGTGACTTTAGCTGCAACTCAAATGAACACATGGGAGGAGGAACCACACACTGTCTAAAGGTTGTCACCAGGACTTTGTCTGAGAAAGGTCGGGTAAATGTTAGTATGATTACAGAAAATAAAGCACAACTTATTGATTTTCCGTCATGTGTCTGTTCACCTCCATCAATCACAGCCACACTGGCGTTATCGGTGACATCTAGCCCGGGGCTTCGTTCTGTCGTCCAGCCCCAGCTGTAGGTGATGCTGTTCCAGCTGGAGGTCACCACGTGGAGCTGTAGGGGACGCTCTGGGTCCCAGCAGATGCACACTGGAGCTTTCTGAGGGTCTCTGCCAAAATCCAGGCTCTGCTTCAGGTACCAGTGGTAGTTTCCCACCGCCCACAGCTGGACTGTAAACAGAGATCCGACGAGTTACAGCGGGATGCACAATGTTAGTTTACCGAGTTTGGTTGCTGAACTTAACGATAAGTGTTGACGTGGCCATCGTCCCCACAGCTCAACTCCTCCAACCAAACGGCTAAAACAGTGGAGTCGGGGTTCCACAGCAGCTCCTTCACCTAAGCACACACACACACACACACACACACACACACACACACACACACACACACACACACACACACACACACACACACACACACACACACACACACACACACACACACACACACACACACACACACACACGTATAATTATCATTTTGGTCCCACTTTAACGCCTGCCTGTCTATAATTTGTTGTTGAAAAGTCACTAAACTGATTTAATCAGGAAACTGTAAATCACTAGAACGTGGCCGTGCCTTAGCTTGGTCTTTACTGAACGGCAGCGTAAAGTCTCCATGCAGCAGTCCGTTCTTCTCCATGAACACAACACTGTGTTTGTTGGGATGTCGCTGAGAGCTGGCTATCAGGCTACCCGAGGGTCTGAACCACAGAAAGTATCACAGCTCAGCGTTACGGAGTCTGCTGCATTACTCCACATTACTTCAGAGACAAGCCTACGGTTAAATACAATGCACTGGACTCAAAGGCTCTTACTTCCAGCACAGCGCCTGCTCGAGTCCGTTGACCGGCTCACTGGTGGCCTGGAGAACCCCCTCTCTGTTCCAGACCCGAACCTTTCTGCCTCCAGTCTGAGGACAGATGGCACTGATGGCAAAAAGCTGTCCATCTCCTCGCCACGTGACTCGTGGTCTGCGGTCGTCCCAGGCCACAGCTGGCTGTGCCTCCTAGAAGGAAATATTTACTATAACAAGAATAAATTCATGTTTCCTAAATGTTGAGTAAAACATTTTGTTTTTCTTTTTAATAATCACTGATGCTTGAGCACACGGTCGCTGACCTGGACCTTCCTTCGTGCTGCCTGCTTTCCTTCTGAGCCGTGGAACTGAGTCTCCTTCTTCCCCCACCCCACCGTGATGAACTTCCCTACAAAGCAACACACTCTGGATGAACACAGTTCTGAAAGAATAAAGTTCACTCAGCAAAAAATAAAAAGTAACCCAACAGATTCACAAATAATCCACATCTGTAGCTCTAATCGCGGAAGCCAGGAAACACTGATCAGAACGTACCTTCACCAAAGTCATCCTGGTGGATTCCCACTTCAGTGATTGGCTCAAAATCTTTGGTCATCATTATAAATGTTTCCTGACCTGTGAAAACACAACACTGATGTAATCATTTGTAACCTTGTACTTTTAGTTCTCCCTATGAATGAAAACAAACTAAAACATCAAATATATAAATCCAGCTGGGAGTGTTTTCCTCAGCTGCAGAAGAGCTCTGACCTCATCAGGTACAAATGAGCTCCATAGGAGGAGACTGATCTTCTTGAGCTGAGGTTTTAAAGGGGGCTGCTTTGACAATCCTAACCCTGAGAAACACTGGGAACACTGGGAAGACCTGAATCAGTGGTTTGATGTAAATAAACTATCCCTAAATCTTGAGAAAACTCTTTTTATGATATTTAGTCAAAGAGGAGTAAATGTTGACATCTCACTGGCTATAGAAGGCATTACTATTAATAGAGTGAGGGAAATTAAGTTTTTAGGGTCTTAATTGATGAAAATATTTCCTGGGAGCCACAGAGTAATTGTATAAAAATAAACATAGCAAAAGCTTTTGCTGTACCACATAAAGTCTTAGAATAATGCTGCAGATTTTGAGCAAATCATAGAAATTGAACGCAGTGTTTTTACAACACTTTCAAAAAGCGGATGGTCCGTCGCTTCTGATTGAGTGGTTAGATGATTCTGTGTTAACCTGTAATCTACTAACCAAGGTTATACAGCATTTATACCATTAATCTCACTTTAATTACATTAATTATTTTAATACTAACCAGTAGTGAGAATGACGAGCTCTTCGTCAGGACTCCAGCTCATGGATGTGAGTCCGCTGTCCACACTTCCAACACACTCCAGCTGCAGAACATATTTAGGGTGTCTTCCTCTTTTCATAAATTGTTCTTCTCATTAAATGCCATTATAAAATCTAAAAGATCCGTGAAAAAGAAGCTTTGTAGGGCTGCACAATATTAGGAAAACCTGGGATATGCGATAACAGCGACTAATATTGCCATGACAATATGACTTGCGATAAATAAAAACTTAACTCAAAAAATGAAAAAAAAAAAAATCATAAAAATGAGAAAAGCAAAAGATGTGAGGAAAGAGAAAAAGAAAATGAACCAGAAAAGGCAATCAGTGGATCCCGAGAAAAGCAGAATCAGCAGAAAGAGCAGAACAAAGCTAACACAGGTGTTTGCCAACCATCAAAAAATAAGCGCCGTCCGCCTCGGCCAAACGGGTGAAGAGCTTTATTTGTTTGTTAAAAAAACCATCATGCTTCCGTTTGATTGACAGAATGTATTATGCGTAGCAACCATTTGGGCTGACCATTCATTGCGATATTCATCTGTTCTTTGCGATGTGCATATTGTGCATGCTGATATCGTGACAACGATATATTTGCGATGTATTGTGCAGCCCTAACGCTTTGTAACTTTTTACTTACCTGGCCTGTGTTGAGGTTGAAGAGAACAACATCTCCCCCTGCTGTGGCCAAATAAGCAGACTGAAGCTCCGCCAGGTCCTGCAGTCCAACAACGCCCCCGCTTCCATCCTCAGAGAGGAAACCGTCGGCTGTCAGCGAGGCTTCCCTGACAACCTAAAGAAAGAAAACATGACCAGATCTCAGCTACTTCTAAGAAACCATCACACGTTCAGATGCCTGAAAACACATCTTGAACCTGGGCTGTGAGGGGGTCAAACTCTGTGATGGAGAACTGAGAGGCGATCAGCAGGGAACCAGTGTCCGCCCGGATAGAGAAACACTGGGGGGATCCCGGACCCTGCAGTTCTGAGTTCCGCAGGCTCTTCAGCAGCTTCAGGTTCCTCATGTCAGGATAAGATTCTGGTCCTGGAAATCACACAAGACCTGAGACAACAATAACATGTTTAATATGGGGTTACAGAATTAACTGATTTATAATGGGAATAAAACAACTTTAGTGAATAAATACACTCACATAAAAGTTTTGTTTGCATAAGTAAGCATTCTATTCCACTAGCTTCTTATTGCTGTACAAGAATTTTAGATTTTATTTAGTCAAAATAAATCTGAAAGGTCTAAATAATTCCAGTTAGAATAGAAGAATCGAGATTAAAAAAAATCTCGCTGCTGCTAGAAATCTGACAAAAGAGTTCTTTCAGCAAAATGCCAACAATATTAATAAAAAAAACGAGGCAAGTTAAAAGATCAGCCACACTCCGAGTGAAGCATAAAGAATGACTCTGCATCTCAGATGGAGCAGGTTGTTAAAAAATGGAACGATAGCTTGACTTGCTACTAAAGTCAAAACAATCAAACAGGAAGTGTCCGATTAAAATGTAATAAAAAGAGTAGACAGCAGTAAAATCTCACCGTGAAGACAGAAATCGAAAGACTACAATCTTCTAAACAGCCAGAGACATCGCCACAACAACATCAATGTGGCTCTTTTAGGACTAACACCCTTTGACCTCTGGGTCTGTTTTGTGAAACTGGTTTTGTTTCGCCCCCTGGTGGCGCGGAGTACAAGTACGTTGAATGGCTCACATAATTGATGCAGATGCAAACATCTAGTTTATCGTTTCAGTTGTATCTAAAGTCCCTGAAACACCTCAACAAGTATAATGAAAATGTATGTAACATATTAGCTGCACTTTCAAAATAGATTATACAACTATGATGATGATGATGATGATGATGATGATGATAGGTCCCAATTTCATTTTGAAGATCCACAAACAGGAAAAACTCTTATTTTTAAGCGCTGCTTCCTAAGAGGTTGCGCGGTTCATCCGGCTTTTATTTTGTAAAACATAATCCGGAAGTGCTTTTAACTTGTGTTTTTCGGTTGTTGACGGGTGTCTGGCGCTTGACAACAGGTGAAACGTGGATCTCTGTGGACTTTCAGGGGGAGTTGAAACGTGATGGGAGCACGGTGACAGAAAGGTAAGACTCGTTCACACATTGTTCTTTAGTTGTTGTTTTGTGTAGCTGGTAAATGTAAATGCTGACTGCAGGCAGGCAGAAGCACCGGTTTGGCGGAACCGTGGTGTGTTAACCAGTTGATGGCAGAAATGTCATTGTTCAGGGTTTTCTACAGTGAAGGAGGGAATCAATAATACCAGACTCGTGTGTGACGAACATCGTTTAACATTACATAGGTTTAGTACTGAATCTGGGCCAGAGTACAATGACACTAACCTACAGAACCGGGGGCTGCTTTAGTTCAACACGCTGATTAAAATGATAAATGACCCGCGCTTGTATAGCGCCTCTCAGAGTAAGGACTCCAAAGCGCTTTACACTACAGTGTATCATTCATCCATTCACACACACATTCACACACTGGTGGTAATGAGCTACGATGTAGCCACAGCTGCCCTGGGGCCACTGACAGAGGCGAGGCTGCCGAGCACAGGCGCCACCGGTCCGTCCGACCACCACCAGCAGGCAAGGTCTTGCCCAAGGACACAAAAGCAGAATTCAATGTCCGGAGTCGGGATTGAACCTGCAACTTTCCAATAACTGGGCAACCGGCTCAACCTGTTGAGCTACTGCTGCCCAAAATGTCATTAAAGCTCAGTAATAACAATGTTTCCATGCGTGTCTGTTGGGTTTATGTTTTAGAATACACCATTTATACCTGTTACCTGTGTGATGTGATTCAGTACTCCAAATGTCACGTGCATGTTTTTCTCATGTTGTTGTTCTGATCATTCTATTGAGTGAAAATCTAAAATGAGAGAAAACAATCAGGGACTCATGGTGTTATTTATGATTAGTTTCTCATTAGGAGTCATTCAGATCACAACCATTATTAAGATTATATTTATAATTAATGGATGCTAAGTTTCTTGGTGAGGGACACAAATAGAAGTTGCTTGTTTACATATGTGCCTGGAAAATGTTAATTTACGTGTTTAGCAAGACCCAGTTTGTTTGTGGCTGTCTAACAGAATAAATAAACATTTAGGATATTTTTTTTGGTTGATTATAGTGGCCAATTTAAACCAGGATCTAAATAATTTTTTAATCAGTTCAGTTGCTCGTCATGAGACGTTGCTAACAAGCACAGTTAAAACATGACTTTAACATTTCCCTAGCAGGTTAACTGGTGGGTAAGAAATGACACAAGTGTAGCAGCGACTTTCTAAGCGTTTACGTCCTGCAGATGCAGTCAGGTTTGTTTACTTTAGTCCAGAAACAACATTTCAGTCTTTATTGTTTCTATTCTCCCTAATGTGTATAGAGGCTTTAAAACATGCAAGATTATTTTACACTTGTGTTTCAAGTTTTTGTCTCATGAAGTTTCATTCTGAGTATAGTGTGACAAAAATGCAGATAAAGAGGCGGACACTTCGCGTTAGCAGAATGAAGTGAAACAAGATTGTGCAGCATGACACAATACTAAATTCTGCAAATAGACAATCACTCACGAGTTTTTTTTGCTGTTGAGACATCTGTATGCATTAATGTAACTTCTCCATTCATGGGCTTCATAATTTCACAGACAGATGCATCTAATTGAACCCTCTTAGCTGACCAAGATAAAAGAACGCTGCTAATGTTGACAACATCATTTTCAGTTTCATCACACTTCCTGTACAAGGAAGAGGGTTTCCACTTTGGTTCCAAGTTAATTAGAAAACTTGTGAACTTGACCGTGTGCCAGAAAACTCAAAGAAATGAAAAAGACCAATAATCTGATATGCTCAATATTATAAGTCTACCATCAATATCAGCATTAAAATGTATTATCAGAAATGTTGGTATTCAGTCGTTTAATGACAAGATTACATACCATAAACATATTTTACTCTTCAGCTGTTCTCCTTTCTCTCACAGATTTCAGAATATGACAGATCTGAGGTAAAGTTTTGAGATATTTTAGTTTATTTGGCACAACTTTTGGCCCTTTCCTCATTACTAACTTACATTTAAATAGTTGTCATTTTGCACAGAAAATGTTAACATGTAAGCATTTGTGATAGAAAATATGGGATGTTAGTAACCTAAAATGTTATATTTTTCTTTTTTATGAGGGGGGGACACAACATGTATCGCTCTCAGAAATTAACACTCGACAATATCGGTATACCAGTAAAAAGGACAAATCATTCATCCCTAATTCTGAGCTCATCTGTGGCAGGTCATATTTACAGTCACGTTGAAAAGAAAACATTTTAAGTTAAGCTCTTAAATCTTTGCATAACATCAGACAGATACCAGAAACAGAAACAGCCTTGCTACTTTTTATTGAGTTGTGTTAAAAACACAAAAGTCCACCATACTCATTATTTCCATGGCTTGTTTTTATCAGCCTAAGTGATCATGATGTCAAAAAAGTTCAGCTGATCAGTACTTACTTGTCAGCTCAGAAAGAACATTTGACACATTTAAAGTAAATTACGAAGACGTTCCAGCAGTTAATCCTGCTGCACGCCCTCCCACTGACACTTAGAGATTGATGACACTTTTTTGTATCTCACCTCCCTCATCACTACTATAAATACCTTCCTACTCGAGTCACGATACTAGTTACGCCCTAAACACGGTGCAGTTATGTGAGATGCAGCAAAGGTAGAAGATATTTTGGTTATGCTTCTCAGCATTGGTTGCTTGTTTCTGCAACACTTAAACAGGAAATGAGCCAAATAATCTAAAACCTTAACCTCTGCCAAAGCCCCGTTGTTGCATCAGACATCATGGACACACATTTTTAACTATTTGTTGTGTGACTGACTAAAAGGGCAAACAAACCCTTTGTCCAGGTAAAACCATAGCTCAATAAGATATATAAATAAATAGAGCATTTGAGGTAAATAACATTTTAGAAACAAAATTGCTGTTTGGATTTTAATGGATATCCTTCAGATCACAGGATTTATGAAAACAAACACAAACAACACTTTAATTTCATTGTATATTTAGATTGCTTAACTGAAAAGCCATTTTTCAATTAGTTTTTCTGATTATAATCAGTCACTCTGAGTTTTTCATGCAGGCTGAACCTGAAAGTAGTCTCCTACACCTATCCCCTGCATTAGCTTCTGATAGAAAATAGAGGGTGAAACGCTAGGATTTGAAAAGCCAGCCAGATCTACGTCATGCTGTCACTTAACATTTATGGACTCACCCATCTTGACTCACAACGGGGAAGGCTGTTGTTGGTTTAGCATCCAGGAAACAGCAGAGAACGACTAGAAGCTAACCATTAGCATTAGCAACTCCACCACAAGGCAGAACTCCTCCAGGCTTGTGTTATTTGTGGAGATAAAACGTCAACATTGCAGAGCAAACAGAATCAGTGGTAGAGTCACATTGCTGTTATCCATTCAGAGGAGCGATATCCAAAATGTCAGGAAAAAAGACTACAAATCCTGCTGCCTGAAGCTCAACTCTGATCTGGCTCACTTCTAGTACCTGAAACGGGTGCACTGGAGCCCCCCCATTTGTACTAGAGTTGACTAGTTGACTCTCTTTCCCCCTGAGCCTGAGATCAGTGGACTCAGTGGTCTCCTTCAAAAAGCAGCTGAAATCTCACCTGTTCAAGCTGGCTTTGGCACCACCACCATCTCCTTATTCTGCTCTTTCCACCAATTCTGCCTATCCTAAGATCCACTGATTTCCTTCTTTCCTATTCATTAAAATCTTTTTTATGTTTTAAATTCTTGTTCTTGTGAAACACCTCGTGATTTTTATCTTGAGTGGCGCTATATAAAAGATTGTTTTCTTTCTTCTTTAGAGACTGCTGCAAATGTATGGAAAATATGAGTAAAGTTGATTTTTAATAAAAGACATGAAAATGTTCATATATGATGTCAGACCTTGTGACTGTCTCCATTTTAAATTGACAGTAATTGTACCAAACCTAGAAATACCTGCTTTTTATAGTAGTTAACTAGATTGTACCAATATCAGTCTCTGCAGAATCTTGGGCGGCATTGGCACAACTCTGACTTTCTGTGTGAACTTTTAGATAAATATTTAGTTTCTTTCAAACTGGTTTTACCTTGACGCATGCTTTTAGGTTATTGCAGGAGCAGAGACGGCTCAGCAGCATTCCTCCCAGACATACTGATCTGCCGAATCAGATTCCTTCTTGTCTTCATGGTTTCTTCATTCTATTCTCGTCTGGTTTGACTGCTATGAGTCCGCTCCTTGTTTCAGTACAGTCTCATGACATCTTATTTAAATTCTTGTCAACAGTTTACTCATTTTTCCATTTTTGAGTTTTTTCCTTTGGCTGACGCTAATATGAAATGACACCCTTCTGTTCTGTCACATCTTAAAGTGACAGTGTGTATTTTTTTCTGGCGATAGGGGGCAGTAGATATCTAAATCATTGCAAGCGAGCAGTAGGTCCCTGAACACATTCCTACATACACATCCATGGCTGATAGGCATTGATGATTTTTTTCGGTTGATTTTCATTGCAGACGATGTTTCCGTGTTACACATGACAGCATGCACTACTTTTCTGAACTCTGAATTGAACCAACTCTTGATTTTTAATGTTTTAACACTGCTCAGTGTTGAAATCACACATTTCACCAAAGTTAACAAACAAACTGACCAAGTAATAAATACACAACGCAGGTGACTAAAAGGAAATGTCAGTGGGCAATAATGTAGTAGAGCATTTATCAAGCAGATGTTTTTCAGGAGCGTAAATTTACTTACAAAAAAAAAACTGAAACTGAAAACTATGTTTTTTAAAAAACTAGAAACAGCGCTGAAAACACAATCGCAACCTAAACACACCAGCAGCATCTAAAGTGCATCAAATAATTTTAAAATTTCACCAATGATTTAAACTATATTTTAAACCTTATGGTGCAATTTACTTGACATAGGAACAAACCCCTAATTTCTAACAGTGGATATGGACACTTCCATCCATCCATCCATCCATCCATCCATCCATCCATCCATCCATCCATCCA